TCCCAAAGAAGGGCAGTGCCAAAGAATGCTCCAACTACCGTACAATTGCACTCATTTCACACGCTAGCAAGGTTATGCTCAAAATCCTACAAGGTAGGCTTCAGCAGTATGTGGACCGAGAACTCCCAGAAGTACAAAATAAGCCCTAATGCATTTTTGGAGCAAAAATTAATATAAGACCCTGTCTTATTTTCAGGGGAACACGGTAGTGGAGATTCAGTGAGTCAACTCATTCATAAGTTCTATTGATTCAAATGGGCCTATTCCAATTGTAACTTATGCTACAGTCAGTTGGTTAGAGTAGGCTCATTTGAATCAATGAGACTTACCAAGTTGATTCACTGAATCTCCACTGATTCAGTGGGCCTACTCTAATGCAATTTGCTACACTAAGCAACAGGATTTTGCCCTCTTTAAACTGTTGGTTAGAATGAGTCAGTTTTTATGTGTCAAATGTTGATAAGACTTGGAAAGCTGGGATGTGAGTAGTTATTTCATAACTGATTCATAAATTCAGATTAAACTGTGTAATCTTGCCTATATGTCTGTAGATGAATATGGCTGTGCTACACATTTGAGAGTAGGCACTATAGAGTTGATCTCAAAAGTCCACGCTGGCATGTGAAACTTTAACTTTATTTTCTGATTAGATATACCAAGTATGTTATGCAAGTCTTACCTTTCCAAATATATTTATCTAATTTGTGAAATGAAGCATGTGAAGCTGGCAAACATATTTTGGTAGCCAAAATATTAATTTTTTAAAAATATACAAATTTGGATACATAAAAGGTTATCTAAAGTTTTTACTCATCTTTACGTCGTCTTTAGCTGCTTGAATACCATTGTTCTTTTATTTACTAAAATGCAGCAGTAACGCCAGTGATGTAATTTTTAGCATCACTTAATGCCATCACTTAAGAAGCTAGTGTAAGCACTTCCTCTTGCACACTGAGTCAGGTGATACATGTGCAATAGAAAATGCCTGCATCAGTTTATTCATGGCAATTTGCTGCTGACAGTTATGTTGCTGGAGTCAACACCAGCAGAAATGTATAATAGAATTCCTGCAACTTCTAGTATTTTTCTTTCCACTGTAACAGGAATTACATCATCATTCTGTGGGTTGTGGCATATTTCCAGTTACATGCCATCAAATCACTTCCAATATATGGCAACTGCGTGAATGAGTAGTCTCCAAAATGTCCGGTCACCTCTTGTAACCTCAGGACTCTGGAAGGAATTTAGGAAGGCAATCCATCTCATATTTCTTCTTCTTCTTTTTCTGCTGCCTCTAAACTTTCCCAGCATTATTGTCTTTTCTGGACTATTTTTGCCTTCTTATGATATGCCCAAGGTAAGACAACCTCAGTTTCACCATTTTTTGCCTCCAGATATAGTTCAGACTTGATTTGCTTCAGAACTCTTTTTGTTTCTCCTGCCTCTGCACTGGTCAACAGAACTTGGGTTGTCGCTTTTGTTAACTTGTGTGTATCCGCCTGTGGCTGGGTACCGTTCAGTATAAAACTCAGTTCAGGTCCTGCTGATATGCCTCACTTCTTCGCGACTAAATTTTTTCTATTAAATATCTGGCGTTGAATAAACAGAGATATTTCCAGAAATAGTTTTTTTTTAAAAAAGATATAGTATTGTAGTATAAGATCATTGCCATCCTTACTATTTAATTAAATAACTGGCATTGAATAAACAGATATTTCCAGAAATAGGTTTTTTTTATAAAAAAGATATTGTAGTATAAGATCATTGCCCTCCTTACTATGCCTTGTGTTACTATTCTGTTAAGGCTTTAATTCTTGCCCACTGATTGCTTATTGTATCCATTGTTCATAAACCGCCCAGAATAGTCCTTTGCACTAAACAGGATGATATAGAAATCAAATAAATAAGAGCTATGTATTTAAAATAATTTGCAGCACCTTTCCAGGCAAAGCTTCCGTATGCTGGTTTAAATAAAATGTGAAAATAAAGCAAAGTATGGGTAACTAAAATGTTGAAAATACCGTAACAGTAGTAAAATAATATAGATTATTTCGTTATTTATTTTTTTAAAAAATCAGTTTAAAGCAGTATGGAGCAGCTAGTCATTAAGGTCTGTTTTAGACCAAGCAGAGAGAAATGCATGTGCACACATACCACGAGGGAGCATTCACTAATGATGGAGATCAGAACATACCTTGGTAGGAACAACAGCAGTACCTGTGATCAGTTACTGTTAGGGGTGATGTTGGTTGCTGCCTTTAACTAGGTGCTTTTCAGAGTAATGAGAACATAGCAAAATTTTGAAACTAGGACTTAGTATAATGTGTAATAGCTGTAGTCATTAAAACCTTAATTTTTGAATTTTTATTCTATTCTTATGTCAATGATATCTTTCTGACTGACTGTCCAGGATACCTGTGAAGCTCTCTTCCAGCACAGTATTTCAAACAAATAATTTTTTCCCCTTTCAGCTTTCTTTCACGCCTGCACAGAGTGATCAGGAGGAATACAAGAGCGTGGATGATCTTGGTCTCCAGTGGCCCATTCTTACACTTGCTAATCTTTTCTAATCCTTTCATTGCTGCCCTATTTTCAGTACCATTCTTAATATGACTTGCTTCCCACATTACACTTTCTTGTTTGTGACATGCCTGTGCTAGTATGCAAAAAAAAGATGAACCATTGTCAATTTTAACAATTCTCCCCTCTCATCATCCCTCAGACTTTATACCGGAGATAAAGGAGCAGGTGTGCTTGTCTCGCATTTATGTGAATTACAGAATCTTCTGTAAAAAGCTTTTCTTTCTGCTTTGTTGGAACACAGTTTTCAGCATGGATCACCCCTTTTTGGACTCACCCTTTTGGAATGACAACATGAAAGAAATTACAGCTTTGTGAGGTTGGTGACATTTCACCTACTAAAGGTTTACTTTGGCTTGTGCGATGAGCAAAAGGAGAATGCTTTTATTGAACTCCGTTTGGTCAAAGGAAGCACAATTAGTTTCATTAAGTGATAATGATAGGACATTTATGGCTTGGACTCTGGAAATGTATGACAGGGTAGTACTTTAACCCCAGAAAGCTGGCCAGCAAGGCTTAACTGAAATGTACAGGAAGGGAGCCTTTGTTCAAATTAAAGATAATAATTGCACTTGGATCATTGGATGGCAAAGTCTTTCGGGAAATACATGTCTGATTGTTCTTTGGAAGCTCTTGGTGTTTCTGCGGAGCAATGGTTTGTGTTTGCTTTAGAATTATGTGGAGCTACCATCTACTTAGGAACAAATTAGATGTGACAAGGGAGACCAGCTGGGGAATAAAGACAAGGAAGGGCTGTTGCCCCACATCCTGCTTTGGGACTTCTGTTAGGCATCTAATTAGCCATTATGGAAAACAGGATGCTGGACCACATAGACCTCTGGTATGAGCAGGCTGTTAGTAAATCCTTAGACTTACTAACTGATTTAATTTCCTCTTCTCCAGAGTTGCTGCTATCTGTCATTAAGTGTCTTCACATTGCTTCCCATTTATGGCAACTATACACATTAATGAAGTCCAGAATGCTTTGCCAGTTAACTAGTTGAGTCCTAGTCAATTCTTTCAATCTAAAGACAGCCTTTGTTTATAGAATCAGTACATCTTCTGCTAGGCCTTTTTCCTTTCTATTTTTCCTAGCGTTATTTGTAGTGAGTCTTGTCTTTTTCTGATATCTCTGGAATACAATAGCTTCAGTGCCTGATGACACAGGCATTTGTCCTGCTCTTTGGTCAGCTCTGGGGATGGTAGCCAGATGGGCAACCATACAATGCAACTACCAGTGCAAACCAGCCTGACCCGGAGCATTCCTACCTGCAACTTTCTGATTCACTGTCAGGGCTATTGGTTTGTTTGTTTGTTTGTTTGTGTTCACTGTCAGGGCTATTGGGTTTTTTTTTTTAGGTGCAGGCAGGATTGCTCTGTTTTGGTTCAATTCCAGCCTGTATTTATTTTATTAACTTATCAGAGATGCTTTGAAAGGGTTTTTCTTTATTTTATATATTAAAAGCCCCATCAAAGCATCACTGATGTGCTGTGTCAGTTATCAACCATGAAAAAGAAATACAAAACTTCCTTCTCCTGTTCTCCAAAGGAGAGATGGACGTCTTCAATTTCTCCAGATTGTTAAGAGCAAGATCATTAAAGTAATAAAGAGTCTTCTCTAAAGGGACAGCCAGCCACAACAATCCTGAGAAATCTTTACTTAAAGGGAAAGAGTATTTCCTTTTAAAAGGGAGAGAAGATCTGAATTTGGCTAAACAGTGTGGTGTGGTTTCCTGATCCAAACCTACCCGATCCTTGCATGTGGATGCAAATATTATACCACAAACCTCTATGCAGTCTTACCTGACCTTAAGTGACCTGATATTTAGCCAGAACCAGCTTGCTCCAATTTGGTCATCTACCCAAACTTTAGCATCCAGTGAGAATTTGGGCTTGATTTGATCTAGGGCCCATTTATTTGAATTTCTGGCAGCCCATGGTATATTAAGCTCTTCTCTACATTTCAAAGGAAATGATTATGTCCTGTCACCTTTCATTACAATCCAGCCTTACATAGTACATAGTAACTGGGATGATGGCGGCCTTGGTCTCCAGCGACACATCCTTACACTCTAGGATTTTCCCCTTAGTTCCTTCACGACTGCCTTTCTGAATGTCAGTCTTCTTCTGATTTAATCACCCTTATAATACTGGAGACGTGGTGGCACTGCAGGTTAAACCACAGAAGCCTCTGTGCTGTAAGGTTTGTAGATCTTCAGCTGTAAGATCGAATCCACGTGACGGAGTGAGCACCCATCGCTTGTCCCAGCTCCCGCCAACGTAGCGGTTCAAAAGCATTCAAATGCGAGTAGATAAATAGGGACCACCTTGGTGGGAAGGTAACAACGTTCCGTTTCTAAGTCACACTGGCCATGTGACCACGGAAGCTTGTCTTCGGACAAAACACTGGCTCTATGGCTTGGTAACGGGGATGAGCACCGCCCCCTAGAGTCGAACACGGCGGGACAAAAATTGTCAAGGGGAACCTTTACCTCTCCGTGCACTTTATTGAATAAAGCAACAGGATTTGGGATGATGTGTGAAATGCTGTTTAAGAACTGGAGATAATATAATACTGGAGAGAAGATTCACCCTAGGAAAGTGCCACCTTTGGAAGGTGGTTGAGGAAAAGGTACAATATAAAAAGCCAGATGCTTTCAAACTTAATGATGCCACTTTTCATGTCTGAAGCGAGTTCCCTCCCCACTCTCTGATTTGCTAACTCAGATTTAACAATGGAACTCCTTAAAGGTACAATGTAGGGCCACATGAGTGGAAGTACAAGTACCCATATATAATTGAAAGTGTTGTGTGTTCAGAACTGAATCTGGAATTCTGGCAGTACTCAGTGAGATAACTATCCACACATGGAATACACTGATGTCTTCAAGGTATGGGGATTGCTGGTAATAATAATAATAATAATAAACCTTTATATACTCAGTGAGATAACTATCCACACATGAACTATCCACACTGATGTCTTCAAGGTATGGGGACTGTTGGTAAGTCAAAATGGCTAATGGAAATGGGAAAAACTGAGAGAGTGTCCAGATTAGTGTTTGTTCTTCTGAAAGAATCTGCTTTACGGCAGATTTCAGTCTTTTTCTATTATCTATGTGATGTCTTGGTTGTTTCAATAATAAGACAAATAATTGCTTTTCTAAGCTTTTCTATCTTTGCTAAAGACATGGTTTCTTTTTGTTCTAGGATTTTTTTTCCAGATCCAATACTAAGACACTTTCTGTACCTCTTCTGCCATTCATAGTCTGCTGGTAAGTCAAAATGGCTAATGGAAATGGGAAAAACTGAAAGTGTGTCCAGATGAGTGTTTGTTCTTCTGAAAGAATCTGCTTTACGGCAGATTTCAGTCTTTTTCTATTATCTATGTGATGTCTTGGTTGTTTCAATAATAAGACAAATAATTGCTTTTCTAAGCTTTTCTATCTTTGCTAAAGACATGGTTTCTTTTTGTTCTAGGATTTTTTTTCCAGATCCAATACTAAGACACTTTCTGTACCTCTTCTGCCATTCATTTCTGCATCGTAAGAACTTCACATTGGAACCTTCTAATTAATACTCGATTAACTGGGAAGAAAATTCTCTAGAAGATGAGCCACAGAAGGGATGTGGGTTTCAAGCAAGAGTTGAGATATCTGCCCTGCACTAGATTTGATGGAACTATGTTGCATCTGGCGAGAGTAAATGCCCAACGCTCTAGTGGCTGTTCAAGGAAATATAGGTAGCTTGGGCATATTCTGGTTTCTCTTCAGACCGCATAAAAGTCTGCTGGTAAGTCAAAATGGCTAATGGAAATGGGAAAAACTGAAAGTGTGTCCAGATGAGTGTTTGTTCTTCTGAAAGAATCTGCTTTATGACAGATTTCATTCTTTTTCTATTATCCATGTGATGTCTTGGTTGTTTCAATAACAGGACAAATAATTGCTTTTATGAGCTCTTCTATCTCTGCTAAAGACATGGTTTCTTTTTGTTCTAGGATTTTTCCAGACACTTTCTGTGCCTCTTCTGCCATTCATTTCTGCACCGTAAGAACTTCACATTGGAACCTTCTAATTAATACTCGATTACCTGGGAAGAAAATTCTCTAGAAGATGAGCCACAGAAGGGATGTGGGTTTCAAGCAAGAGTTTCAAGAACCCACCCTCTCCCAATGCTTTTCTAAGCTTTTCTATCTTTGCTAAAGACATGGTTTCTTTTTGTTCTAGGATTTTTTTTCCAGATCCAATACTAAGACACTTTCTGTACCTCTTCTGCCATTCATTTCTGCATCGTAAGAACTTCACATTGGAACCTTCTAATTAATACTCGATTACCTGGGAAGAAAATTCTCTAGAAGATGAGCCACAGAAGGGATGTGGGTTTCAAGCAAGAGTTTCAAGAACCCACCCTCTCCCAAAGGAAAGCATTTTAGGAGATATGGATGTTTCAACTTAACTGTGGACAAAATCACGAGTAAGCCCCAACACCGCTCAGGATAAATCATAGCCAGTTAGGATCAACTGAGTTAGAAATGTTGTCCATCTGATCACAACCAGAATGGAATATGAAGTGTTCAAAGAAAAGGAGAGAGAATTATTCTCCCTTCCCATATACTGTGTTGTGGATTGGAATTTTATCTTTGAGATCCTCAGTGCAGGACCCCCAATTGTTTGACTTCTTTTGTTCTTCCCATATTCTGTGTATCATAATCCTGGGCATTTTTCTAACCAGAAGGATAGTGCTACCATGCCTTCCAAGACTGTTTGCAGAGACGTCTGATGTGAAGGGCTTTGTGGGGCTGGTGTTTCTTGGGAGGCAACTCTCCCCACACAAAGGGCCCCCTGACTCTTCGTTGTGTTTCCTTCATAATCAGACTGTGAGTCAGCGTGGTGCAGAAGAGGTGGTCTTGTGCACATTTTTTTTTGTTAAAAGTAAAAAAATTTCTAAAGGGCAGGCCTGAGGTCACTCTTTGGATCCCAGCCAAAATGTCATTAATGCTCCATGCAGAACAGAGCCTCAGCTGACCTTCAGGTGCTTTTCAAGAACAGTGCTGATAATTAAAATCAGCTGTTCTGGGAGGAAAAATCTGGTTTTTGAAAACTAAAATAAGGAGGCAGGCAAGAGTGTCACCTATGCTATTTACTACCAGTGGCAATAGAAAAATGTTCGAGAAGGGGAACAAGGCGTGGACAAAACTTGTTCTGAAGAACTATGGTATGTTTGCATGATTACTCGAATGTTGCTACACACTTACAGAGAGGAAGGGAGAACAAGTAATTTTTAAAGCAGGTGTATTTGTTCACCAATGCCTGTTTTTAGTTCTTATTAAGACAGTGGGACTGTCAGTGGTGATTTTCAGACAGGTCCCCAAAGGCTTCCCTAGGTCAAAAGGGATCCATAGGGAGCCTTCGAGCCTGGGGACGGGGGGGGGAATAGAAACTCTGAATTGAATTGAATTAAGAGTAATTCTGCCAAGTGATAACATCATTGATATGTACACCCACGGAATTACTTAACAGAATTTTATTGAATATGCTCATATTATTATCCAAATGATGCTACACTCTATAGAGACCAGTTGATGAATGAGCAATTTTTAATACAGGAATGAACCATTGCCTGTCTCTAGTTCTGATTATGATATGAACTATGTTTTTTAGAAAGTAGGTATTAGTCAATGTGAATGCTTATGTATTTTAATGTATATTAATGACAGTGACAGAGAACAATAAACGGAATGCTGCAAGTTGCCTCAGTCCTTAATCATTAACTGGGAAGACCTTCAATGAACTTAGTACCCAAGTGTGGAGTTTGGAATCTGACCTTTACTACATCTAGATAAACATTATTGTAACCAATTCAGAAGCCCTCTTTTCAGACTTCAATCTAAGCAGTTCACTTCTCTGTAGTCTTACATTATTTTCTCAGTATTACAGATTACGTCTTAGAAGAAGCAGACATGATTCTTCTTGCTGTGCTTTTTCCTTGCATCATTGCTACCTACTCAGCATCTGTGAAGGGTAAGGTACTAATTTGGACAGTCTTTATTTGCATTGGTGAACGTGTCGGTGTGACTTTTGATAAAAAAAGAATGTACTTATTTATTTATTTGATTTTTATACTGCCCATCTGGCTACCAAGGCTACTGTGGGCAGTGAACAAGTAAGATAAAAAAAAAAGAACTGACAACAGGGCTACTGAATAATAACCAAACAAAATAGAAAAAGTGCTAAACGCTTCTTTATTGTCAGGCTTTTTATGTCTACATCGACCTTACCAATATTTCAAATTATAATATTTGGATCAACTTGCTGTTTCTCAAGAGATTTTGGGCAGGCTGAGTGCAACTTTTCTATAATTTGAAAAAGTAAGCAGAAGAGTCATTTACAGAAGGAATAGAACTTGATTTGCTTTCCCTGATACAGATATGGAATTCAAATTTGATGCTACTAACATAGTTGAAAGTTTTACATAGAATAAAACTGGATTGTTAGCTGCTGACTTCCTTTTCACCCCACTCATCCAACTGCTCTTTAGGAATTCACTGTGATTAACCTATGGGTTTTGTGCCAAGAGTGCTCAATCATCATTGTAAAATGCTCATTTAGTTGTGGAATATACTAGGAGATCACTTTGCCAAAAGACAGAGAGGATACTGATTTGAATAACATTTGTATGTGCCAACGGATGTTTTATATTATGTTTGTAAAATTTATATTTATAAATATAACTCATTTATGATTCAAACAGAAATATTCTGCACCTAGCTACAGTATAGAAGACCATGACCTGTGTATGTTCAATCTGCTGTTTAGATGCTAATGGTTGATGGGCAACTTCAAAGCCTCTGCCCTTCCTATTTATAGTTCTTTATCTTTAACGCAGACAATCTGGAAAGCCTTTCAAATATAGGATGTTTTCAGATAGTTCAAATGGCAACTATGTACATAGGGTTGACAGAGCATCTTTACTTACTGTTAATCTTCAGTTACAATTGGAAGAGTAAAATAATAAAAAAGGAGGTAGATCTCTCAACCATCTGGAAAAGGGAGAAATCCATGCAACCACATGATCTGAAGGTCAGGAAGCAGAGAGAGCAAACAAAGAAACAGGAAGCAGATGAACAGGAAGAGAGGACGGAGGCAAGGACTTGCACCCAGCTACACACAAGATTGTTAAGTTCTCCAACATCTGGTACTCTCTAGAGCTGTCGGGCAACTTTCCAAAGAGAACAGCATCTGTATCCATGAAGTTTCTCTGTAAGAACTCTTCTTTTCCAGGATTTAAAACCACGTGGAGATTCCCATGAATTAGAGGAGGACTCACCTTCAGAAAGTCACTTGCCATGTATACAGGATGAAGAAAATGTGCAAGTAGGGGACTTAACTGGTCCCCATCCTTGTGTTTTGTTTGTAGTCAGAAAAACACCTGAAGAGGCCAAAGTAATGACTTTTTCAGCATCTGTCTAGTCAGTGTCTAGAAACATTGACTTGTTATGTTCCTGAGCAGAAAGTCAGCCAGGCCCATTGTCTGCAAAAACATATAAACATTCATATAACAAAAATGACTAAGGTAGGAGCCTCTAGAACTACATCCAGAGTTATGTTCTTCTAAATTATTACAGAGCAGGAATTGCAGTTAGTTTTCAATGGGTTTTAAGAAATATATTTTACTTAAGATCACTTCACAGGACTATATATCATGTTTTATTTTGTTTGTTTTGTAAATCCGTCCTTGTTGAAGGGCTGAAAAATGCATTGTAGATAATCTTTTATTAGAAGAGCGAAATGTTTCAAGTGAGAGCAAGAGTTTTTCTTACCTCCCATAATGTGAGAGTAAACTTGCTGTGGTTTGTGATTGATCTTCAGGACATAAGAACATTCTTATATTGCAAGTCTGAGTTTTCAGACATGGAGGTCTACCAGAGGCATGTCTCTTGAATTCTAATGTGATTTCAGCTCTAATGATGAGTTGTCTATAACTTATAGCTTTTCCCTAAGATGAGCACTTACAGATAATAGATAGGAAATCAAATAGTATGAGGCTGAGGTAGCAGAATGGAATGCAGTGATGATCTGTATACAGTGGACCCTCGACTTACAGACTGCTCAACTTACAGACTTTTTGAGTTACAGACTTCTCTGGCTGCAAAATTTAGGTTCGACTTGCAGCCTGAGAATCGACCTACAGACCAGAAAAAAACCAAAATGGAACAAAAACGGCAGGTTACAGGATTAATCGGTTTTCAATGCATTGTAGGTCAATGGAGACTCGACCTACAGACTTTTTAACCTGCAGCCACCGTTCCAATACAGATTAATTCTGTAAGTAGAGGGTCCACTGTAGTTGATCTAATTGCTTTCAAGTGGCCTGTCCTGCTGAAGAGAACTTGTTTGACTCTATGATATATGCCTAAAAGATGGCACAGAATGAATGCTAATCTAGAATATAGGTAAAGGGGGGGTGCTGATGATTTTAGGTAAACACAAGCAAGTGTTCATTACTGAGCCTATTATAGTGGTAAAAGGTTAGATTTTCCCCTCCATTGTGATTGCATGCTGTCATCTGATGGAATTCTGCATAATTATTAATCCTTTCCAAACTGACCTAGTTGGTGATATGATGCTATCCTTAATACAATGTTGTAACATTTTTGAGACATTTTGAGGATGACATTTTTATAGCTTTTCCCTAAATGTTTTAGGACATTACCTTTTCCAGATAATAGACTGGAAATCAGACAGTAGAAGGTTAAGGTAGCAGAATGGAATGCAGTGATGATTATTCAAATAGAACAAGCCAGTTAGTAGAAGTGTCCAGGGTACTCTCTGATAATGGATGGCTTCCAGGTTTCAGAACGTGAGGATGTACACAGTGTGCTAGGACCAGTTCAGTCAATGACACATAGTACTATATACAAAATGTGAGAAGTATTTCCAGTTGGGCAAATAAGAGTTGGGGGAGGAGATTTTGAGTGGCAAACTGAAACAGACCTGATCCAAATTGAGATAATGGGACCAAATTGGGGTGCTATGTGGTTTCTTTGCCTTCTCAAACAAAACTACTAGTGATGTTGTGCATATGTGTATGCTTAAAATGTCCGGTGAATGTATAGTTTGTGCTGAACTGATTAACAAGCAGAGATAATCAAGCCCCTGATGTCTTCTGGAAACCTGTATTATTAAATAATATGCAGGCAATATTAGTTCTCAACCCTGAATTTTCTCTGGAAGCAAAAATGGCAAAACAGAGGCAATCATCCTATGGGCACATCATGAGAAGACCAGACTTACTGGAAAAGATAATAATGCTAGGAAAATTTGATGACAGCAGGAAAAGAGGAAAGCTAAGTAAGAAATGGATTGACTCGGTAAAGAGCTGAGTAGATTCTTTACAACAAGCCCCTGTGAAGGTCACTCATTCACAAGGTTTCCATAAGTTGTAGACGATTTGTCATTATATAACAGCAACAAGGTTAGATGACTTTTGCAACTGTTAAGACTACATATCTACAATTTTAATTTTGGCAAGAACTGTAATACTTCCTAATGGAAGAAAACAAACGGTCCTGCAGTACCGTAATGATTAAAGAATATTTTTTGCTGTTTTTATTGCAAAAGGCTAATATGGCTATCCTGCTGGAAGATTTAAATGCGGAAGTTCTTTAAGTCCACCTGAACAAGGGCTGCTTATAATGAATTGTGGAGTGTTGTACATTGTTTTTTCAAAAAGAGGATTAAAAATTCCAGAATCATATGTGAACTAGTAGATGCTAGAACTCATCATCTGGGGGAAAAATTTCTAAGCTTTATTTTATTCTGTCTGGTTGGAATAGAAATAAACATTCTTTTGTTATATATACACATGCACAGAGATATGTCTATTACCAATCTGAGTTATCAGGTAGGCAGTGACATAACTAAGCTACATTTATGTTAAATTACTGTGATACTGTGTTTCAACTGCACATAATCTGGGTTGATTCACTGAGGTTATAGCAAATTATGTATTATTAGCCAAACATATTACACAGTAATATTTTATAATACTTGTTATGTGACTTGATTCAGTAAGATTACATCAAATCATGTGATATTACCTAGCATTATAATTAATAATATTTTTCTAAGTAGTCCAATATTTTGCCAAATAGCTGGCTGTTCTTTTTTTTCTTTAAAGAGTTATCTGATGTTGTAAGAATCAGAAAGGATAAATGTACACTTTCATCGTCATAGTGGTCAGAGCTGCACATATCGTACATGCCAAAAGTACTAATAAAAGGTACACAACCTGACAGCTGCCTCAGCTCAGGCAGCATAACTTTCTGTATTATAAGGTATCATGATTTAATTATAGACTGCCATAATGACAGACACTAGTAACCACCCACTCTTCCCTGCAAGATACATAGACTGCAGAGACAATCTTGACCCTGAGTCAATATATCAAAATACTGTATTAAAGTCCCGGTCTGGTGCTATTTAAGGAAATGAGAGGTTCAAAAACATATGAATGCATTCTACAGCAATATTAGAAGACTGCTATGTAGTTGATTGGGAGAGCAACTAAATAAAAGCAAGTAGTATGGGTATCATACCAAGTGTTATAATGTGAACTTTGGCATTAATGTTGGCTTTACTTACATGTATGGAATCAAAGTTGGAAAATTTTCGATGAGGTTTGAAAACCTCTCTTGTTAACTTGGTGTTGGGTAGTTTGCAACCAGTTTTTTATTTGAACTTTTAAACTGGGTGATAGCAGTTGGTTAATTCTTCCTGATCATGACCTATTCTGATGAGTTTTATGTTGATGTACAGTACAGGTATATAGTGTGTGTGTGTGTTTTCTCTCTCTCCCTCCCTCCCTCCCTCCCTCCTTCTCCCTTTCCCTCCTCCCCTCTTTCCACACACACACACACACACACAATATTAAGATTATTAAATATAGATTTTATTGGAATGCACACTGGTGTAGTCAATGCAAAAGGCTAATTTGGGGGTAGGAAGCACTCAAATGAGTGGTGGACCTCCTAACGCAGCCAATGTATGGGAGGTTGGTTGTTCACTTATCCCTCAGACTCAAGTTGGAGAAATTGACACAATGGGGCAGGTTTCTTCCATGTCCTCTCACAAAATGTGAGGAGTCTGTCTCATTCATTAAAGGAAGCAAAACACCACCATGGTATATATTTTACCTCATTGCATTCCGTGGTTTCAAGCCATGGCCAGGCTTCCCAGTCTGATTCACTTCCAGCATCAGCTGCTGCTCTGTATCAAGTTAAGTTGTTAGTGAGAGGCCTAAGGAACAGGAGAAGACCCAGCCCATCCAACATGCCACACACGCTTTCTTGAAGCACCTCATCTTTCTCAAGGTTGGAGCCCTATATTTGTTGTGGGAGAATGTTAGAAACAAACTGTACAAACCTAAGACCTGGCAGACCATAAGGATTTTGGAGGAAACAGTTTCACTTCTGTAGCCTCACTGACTCTGTGTTTTGTTCACTTTAAATAAGTAGAGTCATGATTGGGGTTGTCACAGCTCTTTCGTAGGGTCAGACACATGATTTAGAAGCAACCTGACATTTTTATTAGCATTCACTTTCAATGCTCGTAATGGGTGAAGAAACAAGAACCATGCTGGGTCACTGCTAATAGGGGTTATCCTGGATAAGACCAGTCCAGTCCAAGATTTTGTGTCCATAGATGCCAATAAGATGCTCATAAGCAGAACATGGCCACAATAGCATCTTCCTGGTACTGAGAAGCATATGGCCTGCCTCCAATATTGGTATGCATTAACAGTTTTATCTTCCATGGATCTACTGTATATCATCCCTCTTTTAAAGCTGTCTAATTTGGTGGCTCATCGCTACAGAATGATAGTGAGTACCGTGTGAAGAAATGCTTCCTTTATTTGTTTCTCCTATTATTTCATTTGAATTTTATGTTGTTCAGTTTCAGTATACAGCTCCAGGTTCTAATATGATAAGAAATGGAGAAATCATGAGAAATTGGATGATTTTGCACACCTGTCATGTTACTCATTACATGCCTTAAAAACAAGCAAACAAAGTTAAACAGTCTGAAATGTTGTAACATTTCCTCAGAGGAGAGTTATTTCAGTCCCTTGATTGTGTCACATCCTTTTCTATAAAGCAAGAGCAAAGTTTGCTGCTTATATATCACTTCATAGCACTTAAAGCACTCTCGGGGTGGTTAACAATCTAATTATATACACACAGAGAGAGCAAGATAGAGCAAGTTGGATCGTCAAATTAATGACTTTGGAAGGATGAAAGGCTGAATCAACCTTGAGCCAGCAAAATGAGCCTATCGGGATCAAACTTGGATATTGAGCAGAGTCTTGATTGCAGTATTGCAGTTTAACCCCTGCTCCAAAAGACTCTTAAACCTCTTCTACATCTAAAATACTCTCTTTTTAAAGGTGCGGTGATCAGAACTGTGCACAATACACCAGATATGGTTAAACCATAGATTTGAGCAGAACGGAGTATCATAGAAATTCTGTATAGGCAAAATTTTATGTAGGTAAACTCCATACTGCAACATTTTTTCAGCAGAGCCCATTGTTACTTTTGACTTTCTTTCCAAAAACTCCAGTTAGCGATCCACAAATATCAATTATATTTCTGTGTTGCAAAGCTGCTCCATAAGCTTTGACTACCCCATTTACCATGTTTAGTCACTATATCCCAGGGAGAACACTGACTTAATTATATCCTGTTACTACTTTTGGGAAGAAACATTGGGGGCTCTTTTCTATTTATGCTAACAGGCACAATACAAATGTATTTTATTTATTTATTTTATTTATTGCATTTATATGCCGCCCATCTAGACATGGTCTACTCTGGGTGGCTCACAACATACAAATAGAAAACAATTTAAAATATACACAATTTACATAGATAAACAGAAAAATATATAATCAAAGAACTTACAATTTTAACAATCAATTTAAAGCAAAGCAAAGAGTCCCAAGATGGCATGAGTTAAAAGGAAAGAAATAAGAAATAAGCATCACTTAATTGACTGAAGGGAAGGCCCGCTTGAATAGCCAAGTTTCAGTTGGGTTTTGAAGACGCCCAGCGAGGGTGCCAGCCGAATTTCGGTAGGGAGGGTGTTCCACAGCTGAGGGGCCACCGCCGAGAAGGCCTGGTTTCCCGTTTTTTCCTTCCGGACCTCCCTCAGCGTCAGACCCCTCAGCCGTCCCTGCTGGCTATGTCGGGTGATTCGGGTAGATCTGGTAGATGTATTCGAGTTCTTCATATTCATAGCTTGGAGTGGAGGCAGATACATGCAGTACACATGACAGCCCACTGCCTTTAATTCTCACCACTACCACCTATTGCAATTAAGTGACTCAATCTTGTTGAAGGTTTTGAAGTTTCAGTAGAAGAAACTGATGTGGTCAGTTTATGAACACTAAGCTCTTCAGTTAGAAGACAGCATAATCCAACTAGTTATTATTGAAGAAGAGTTAGTGATCACAGGATGTAACTTTTGACAGTTTCATTAAGTGGATAGTCATTATGAGTCATCAAAAAGTAAGAAATATATCCAAAAAAGCAAGAGGACCTGGATATGCATATAGCTAATTTAAATGATAATGTATAGGGGAAAATGTATTTGAAATAACAATATAGTGCATATCCATTGTCGTGGGCAAATCCATGAATAGGTGGCATAGGTGCCTGGTCAGTTGGCTGTTGAGGTGCCAATTGTTGGCAGGCAAGTTCAAGGTCCACAGTGCTCTCTAACTTCTCATGATTCCTTACCTTTAGTCTGGATTTGGACTGGACAGCTCTTTAAAAAAGAATACCTTTATAAATAGCCCATACAAGCCATTACTTAACAGGTTCTCCCATTGGGGAAGGTAGTTAGCAAAATCCTTTCATTAGGATACATGGCCATTTACAGGAAAAACAGCAAGCGCTTACAATCTAAATTCCAATAGTGGTAGAGATGACGACAAAGGGCACTGCCAGGCAAAGCTTCTCCTGTGCAGTTGTGCTGCCTGGTTCACAAAATGTTACAGGAGGTCCAGATGACATTGCCTTCCATTGGTAATTCTTGCAACTTCTTCCTGAAATAAATTAATCAAAGGGAAAAAACAACTGCATCAGAATAGCTGCAAAATGCCTCTTGAATGTTAAAGCTAGGGTCCCTCCATATGGAAGCACCAAAAGGAGCGGAGAAAAGGGAGAATCAAAGGTAACAAAGGAAGAATGTGGGTTACTGCTGTTAGATGCTTCATTACCTTTGGGGAGAGAAGGATGAAGTAGTTGGATGAAGTCAAATATTTCATTGGAGCAGGGAGAATAAGGGCGTGAACTGCTGGATAGCTCAGTGGTTTAGACATCAAGCTGCAGAGCTAGAGGTTGGGAGTTCGATTCCCCATTGTGCCTCCTTGACTGAGGCTGGACTCAATGATCCAGAAGGTCCCTTCCAGCTCTGCAGTTCTAAGGTTATTATTATTAGTTAATATTTGAAGGCTTTCAAAATAAATATGAATGGGCAGTAGAAATACAGTGGCCAAGATGGCATTTGGAGAATCTGTTTCAAGGTAAATTCCCTTGCTGCAGTGGAAGAAGTACAGTACCTGCCTTTTCTGATGCCGGTAGTCCAGGCTGATGGACCCATCGTGGACATGTGGGGAAGGGCTCTTTCTTCGAAATTTGGTGCTCTGAGGCATAGCCCTGGTTGTTTCGACCTGGATATGGTCTTCCTGCTGCCTGTCCTTGTCAATCCATAAGAATAGTAAAGGGATGAAATGCCATGCACCCCATTCATTACTCCATCACAGCAGCAGTCAAACTTCTGTCTCCCATTTTACCTTTCCAGCTATGTCTCCTGATATGGGTTGCTGTTTTTTTAAAAAGATAACTATTTCTTTCTGATTGCCACCCTAAGTACAGTGGTGCCCCGCATAGCGACGTTAATCCGTTCCGGATTAATCGTCGCTATGCGGAAACATCGCTAAACGGATCAAAAAAACACACCATAGGAACGCATTAAACTTGGTTTCATGCGTTCCTATGAGGCCCAAACTCACCGTTTAGCGAAGTTCCTCCATAGCGCCGCCATTTTTGCGCCCTCGGTAAGCGAGGCCAGGGCGCGAAAACACTTGCGTTGGCCATTTTGGGCGTCCGGCAGCCATTTTGGAACTGCTGATCAGCTGTTCTAGGAACATCGCAATGCGAAGATTGGTAAGTGAAGCGCTTACCGATCATCGCAATGCGATTTTCACCCTATCTAACCAACGTAATGCGGTCGCATTAGCGATCTAAAAAAATAGATCGCTATGCAAATTCATCGTTAAACGGTGTGCTCGTTATGCGAGGCACCACTGTATTACTAAAGATGGTTATGTGTCTGAGCAAGTGAAGTGTTGTTTCCTCAATACTAAACAACCTGATCTTGAGTTGTGCCACCTCTCTTTTTAATGCAATGCTTGAGAGGGAGAGATAATGGTGGATTTACGATAATCACTGACATGATACTTTACTCTTTTTTCCCCCTCACACAGGCCACAATACTGGTCCACGAATAAACAACGACAAGATATATAAATTCACTTATTCCACAGAAGTATTTCTCAATAGAGTAAAAGATTTGCCACAGGACAGTGTGGGTTACCGAATTTCATCTGGAGTGGATATCAACCTGTTGTGGAGAAATCCCAATAACTATGATGATCAGTTGATCAAAATCACGGTAGGCTGTTCACATGAAATGAAATGTTAAACAAACTTTCTGCTGATTGTTTTATGTGAGAAAAGTCAAGTCTCTATCATGTGGGACCATGAGTTAAAATAAAATTAATGTTCGGTTTCTCCAAGAAACAGAATGGATTGTGTTTGTCTTAAATTTAAGATTCTGGTTGTTAGAATTGCAATGTTGGAACTTTATTACTTTAAAGTATGGCCCATTGAATTCACTGGATAAAACTGTAATCTTAACTATATGTGACTGTAAGGACTCAAGATTGGAAACTCTGGGAATGGAGTCCTAGTAACAAATTTTAACATCTTCTTTGCCAGAAGATTTCTTTAATCCAAAGTTCTTTAGGGAAGATGTATCTGCTAAATTGATTATTTTAGCCATTTCAGGTTAATTGTTTTCCATACAGTTAACATGTTTTTCGTCCAGAGAAGGGATTTTGTCAGAAATACATGCCTCAGCAATATGTGGCTTTGCAAAGTAAGCTCAGTTTACATTGGTGAAGGAAAGCACATATGATGGTGAAGAAACATCTTTCACAATTTGAAGGAGCATCTGTGCTGAGCGTATCATGTAGTCCAAACTGAAAAGGGAGGAAGAGATGCAGCAGGAAGTGAAGTAAAACCTCAGAATATCATTCTGTGGGATAGCGGAAATATCTTTCTGGAGAACATGTTAATTGCAGGGATTGCAATTGCCCCTTAATGTTGCGTTGGACTCCATTGGTTTGGGAAGATCATATTAGAAGTTCCAGACTATATGATTATTTTAATGGTGTTTTTTTTTTCAAAGTCTGCAGGCATCATACATGGTTAACAGGACATGAGTACTGAAAAGAGAAGGGAGAGAGAAATTAAAATCCTAGTAGGTTACCTTCCTCTGGCAGTGCAGAACAGGTGGTTTCATCTGTTTCTCCCTTTTGTTGTTACAGATTACAGATGTAACAGTTGAAAATTTAAAGGAGAGACCTGCACAGAAAAACATTTTTGAAAGAAAAAAGACAGATCAAATAATAGGAAAGGAGCATCTGGTGTCTTTAAAAAGGCCTGTAATTCTGCACTGGACTCATGGAAAGGTAAGCAGAAATCTTTATTGTAAATATAAAGCCTATTCATTAGGAAATCTGCCTCCCGTATGATTGAAACAATTTGTTCCTGGAGATCATTTCCATATTTTCCAAGCCATTGTCATGCTCTGGAGAAATCTCAGCAGGCATCTGGCATTACATCACCTTTTATGTTTAGAATGCAATAGAGTCACATCTGGGGTCACATGTTATATTCTTTGTGCCACTCAGGTGCCTTGGAAATTTATACAGAAGCAGCCTAGATTATTACTCCCCACTGTTTTCTGATAGGGAGAAAAAGCCAAGGTCAAAGGCTAGTGAGACAACACTTGCTTATGTCAGAACTGCTGACACTGCAGCTGTGATGGAAGCAGAGTCAACTGCCAATCAGTTTCACTACCAAATGGAGTGATGATGTGTCAGGGGTGAGATGGCACAGTAAAACAGATTTCCTGTACTTGTGTCATGCAGCACACAGCTTCATTACAATGGCACAAGACATTGATGACACTTGTCACAATGATTCATAGATTTAGCTGTGGAGTACCAGAAACAGAGAACATGTTATGTTGTGGTCACATTTTGTAATGCAGCAGGAAGGGAGCCTGTAGTTTGCAACTTCTTGAGCGCTAGCTAGTTGAAGGAGCAAAGTTTTGTCCTAAAGTTCTGATGCAGCAGCATTCTCTGGTGATTCAAAGGTCACTGAGTGCCTGACACGTCTCAGTGCTACCGCTTTACTCACTGCTCTTTTTTGCCTGCTTATAGCCTCGGTCAAAGTGCAAGGTATATGTTATCCTTACATTTCTGCTGGGATGGGCAAGAGAGAGAGATTGTCATGAAATGGTAAATTGTTGCATGTGTGCAAATTCCTCAAGACCAAAGCCCGTTTCACAAAAGCCATATTAGCATCTGAGGATACAGACATAGGAAGTTCCATTATACCCAAAGAGAATTAGGCTATTTCTCCTTCTAAGTATACCAGCTCTGACTGGTAGCAGCTCTTCTCGCGATTAGGCAGAGAGACTATTCCGTCATCTTAATTTACAATAAAAGATGCTAGCACTTGAACCTAATGTCTTCTGAATATGAGATATGTGTTCTTATGCTCCTGTGCCAAGAAAATTAAGGACATTCCACACATACCTCTGCATCTAGCAGTTTTATAGCACTGTTTCCAACATTTGACAGCTTATGTGTTTAGTGATTTATGTCAGACTACAAAGGGAGGTTTTGTACATAAGCCCCCATCTGATGAAGTGGGCTTGTCCATGAACATTCCCATTAGCAATTAGACTTTAAGGCACCACAACATTTTTGTCTTCTTTATTTTTTATTTTATTTTATTGGCCTGAAACAGCTCTGATTTGTATGTTTTAACATTTGATAAATGATATCGATTCATATTATATTTTAATGATTGATACTGTCTATTTTGTCATAATTTAAAATTGTTAAAATATTGAATGCAACTGTTACTTTTTCAGTTTGCTATGCTTACGCTTTGAAATGAATTGATGTGAGGCTGTTCTTTGCAGTAATGCTTTGCTATACTCTTACACTGATGTTGTTTATGCTTTAGACCAGGTTGGGCACATTTAGGTGGGAAAGTGGCATACAGAGTAAGAACAATAATAGTTGTCCAAAAAATCTATGAATTCTGCAATAGTGTAATCAGGCCTGAATTCTGAGAGGCACTCTTCAAGTCTATTTTATAAATGCTGTGCTTAATACATATTGTTCTCTTTCTCTCTTTTCCCACCCCACCCCGGCATCTTGCCTTCCTTCTCTTTTCATCCAGATTAAAAGCTTTTATTCATATGAAAAAGAACCTGCTGTTACTCAGAATCTCAAGAGAGGTCTGGCCAGCTTGTTCCAGATACAGTTGCATTCTGGAGATGCTCGTGAGGTACTGTGCTATATCACTTAAGCTAAGCCATCTAAAATGTTCAGTGCTGGCATGAAATATATTTTTGTGCCCTTGATGTTATTCGGGTAGACACTTAGTACCAAAAAAAAAAAAATAGAGAAGAAAATCAGTTTGAGCAAAATTAATATATGCTAATTTTTGGATAGACTGATGGACTGCAGATTGCATTTGTTTTCAGTGTGGAAGGGATTATCACTCTCAAATTGGCCTTCTCAGCCACACTAGATGCTGTTCCAAGTCCTCCATACAGAGCACGTTACCACAGTCCAGTGGTCAGGGAACAGGGGTAAATTACCCCAAATGGGATAAAAATGAAAATCATGGGGGTAATGAGGACACGACCCTAACCCCCTTCCCTCCTCCTCCACCACCTCCTCCAATTCTTCCTCTTCTGCCCAGAGGGGGTGGGGGTCCCTGGCTGCCCAATCACCCTCTTCACCTCCTTCTCTGGCCCGGCTGCAACCAAGCCATGGTGGATGGCGGCCGGTGACGGGCCCAGGCCGGCGGCATAGGGCAGCCAAGGCAGTGACGGTGGGGCCGACCGTAGCAGAGGGCAAGGTCAGGGCAAGTGGCCAGAGCGCCCCAACCAGGAGGAGCCTCTCCTTCCAGTGCCTGGAGAGGTGGATCGTGGTGGAGGGGGGTGAGCATGGCCACAATGGCAGCCCGGGCCAGGCTCAGCCTCCCGGTGCAGGGATGCCGCCCCCGCTGCCCCATTCCCCTTCCCTGTCCCTGGAGGAGCCCGTTGGGTGGCAGCAGCACTTGCCCGGCTGCACGGCTTCCTTTGGCGGCACCTCCGCAACAGCTGGCCAGGCCTGGCAGAGCCTCTCACCCTCCGTGCAGCAGCTGTCACGGCACTTCAACGCTGAGGCTTGCAGAAGCCCCAATGCCAAGGCCTGATGTAGCCACCCCGGCAAGCAGCCGCCAGTGCTGGTCTGGTGCCGGAGGCGGCGTCGGGCATCCCCGCTGGGTGAGCCACCTGCTGCTCTTCGATGGCCACCCAGGAGCCACCTGCCAGTGGAGAAGGGGAGCCACACCCGTGGGGCCAAGGACTGAGTGTGGCCCTGCCAGGTGGAGGAGGAGGTGGCAGCAGCGACCCAGGCGTGGGCAGCGAGGTTGCGGCGGTGGTGGTGCTCGACTGGCCGCGCATGACCAAGAGACGTGTGACCGAGATCCTTCCTTTCAAATCAAGGGGGTAATATCGGTGTATATAAAAATTTTTGGGGGGGGTAAAAGGTTTAAAAAAGTTCCCTGACCCCTGCCATAGTCTTTCGAGACTGAAGGATGCCTAACTAAAGATGGACTGGGACTCAGGAGGCCTGGGTTCAAACCTCCCTCAGCCATGAAAACTCACTGGGGAAGTGGAACTGGTAAAGCCAGTTAAATATCTCACCTATCTCGAAGGTCCTGTTAGGGTCAATATAAGCTGGTTTCAACTTGATGGCACATAGCAAACAAGCATCTATGGTAACAAAATTACAGATTAAAGAGGGAACTGAAAAGGCTGAAATTATTTAATATGTGGCTACTTAAGCATAGATATTCTTCTTGCTTATGCTTTCTGCTGTATGTCCTGAGGACTTAATTAGATGTTACATCAAGTGCATCTTTGCTTCAGTACTAAGAGTTTTTAAAAAATGTTAATAGCAATGGTTTGGGAGATGTGAAAATTATCCAGATTGTGCCAGATGTGGAGGAGAAATTTAGTATTTTCCTCCCCTGTTGTATTCCTATGGAAAGTTCTTCCTTTAAAGGTACTGTTTGTATTGGAAAGAAAATCCCATTTTGGCCTCAGGTGGACATTCTCTATCCCAGAAGAAAATATCATATCTAGTCAGCCTCTGGGCCAGCAGGTCTTAGATGCTTCAACATGACATGTTTTTGTCATCTGTTTTCCAGGTGGATATCTGCGGGAAATGTAATGTTACTTACCAAGCGCGACAAAATCAAATCACTAAAATTAAAGCTTGCAAATTAGAACGGACGGGTTTTACCAGCCACAATCGGGTACGGTATGCTTAACATCTCCTACGCATTCTATAGGCATAATGTGAACTGATGAAACACAAAGAACAATGGAATCTTGCTTGTACAGCTAATCTTGGGTTAGATATTATTGTTTTATGAAGAATTATTGTTTTATGAAGTTTTATGAAGGATATATGTTTCTCAATGCTGATATGTTCAGGTTTTAGTCCTGAGCTGATGGTAAGATATAAGGATTGCTGTGTTTGATCCCACTAAAGAGCCAGCGAGAACAGTACTTCAGTGATCACCAACCAGCTGTCTTCAGAGACCACATAAATAGAGAGAATGGTGCCAAAGAGCATCCATTTGTTTCAAGAATATGGCAAAGAAAAATGCTGAATAAAGCAGCTGCAAGGGTTTTGGCTACCAGGGCCTATAAACAGCTTTTAATATAGCCTTCACCAAAACTTTTGAGATATATAAATCGACAGCCACTCAGAACTGTGGCAATAGGTTCTAGGTTAATTATCAATAAACGTTGCTTTTCCTTTGTTTGGAAGCTGCTGCTAATGGGTTTCACTGCATGGCCCAAAGTTTTAGCATTAAGAAGGAGGAAGATCATTTCACTTTCTTCTTCCTGTCTGTACATCCTAATTGTAGAAAGGTCGATCCTGTCCTCTCTTAGGACAATAGCATACCTTGTCTAGCAGACATGTCAGCTAAGGCTGTTTAGAACCTCACCTTGAACCTCAGTTGGTTCTTGATCCTCCAGCAAATAAAAATTGTATAGCCTTCCTAGAATTCTTATGCAGGACACAACACTTTTGGTTTGGGGGCTACTTTATAGGAAGAGCAGGAGAGAAGTGTGAGAAGGAATTGACATCAGTCACCCAAAGAATACCAGTCGAAAGTTGGAGGAAGATCAGCATAGATCAGAGCAGGTGAAAGGACAATCTACGAAACCAATGAGGTCCTTCTTTCTCTATGTATTCCTTCCCATTCAAAGACATACATGTTTTGTGTAAGCTGAGTTGCACCTATTCATCTCCAGTATAAACATCCATGTATATATGTGGATGTTTATGCTGGAGGTGAATGGGTGCAACTCAGCTTACATGAAACATGTATGTCTTTGAATGGGGAGGTAAACATATTCTTACTTGAAAACAATAACTGTGTAATAGTACATACCCAGAAAACTAGAATGAAGTTTTTGTGTTTTGAGGAGTTAGGAGCTGAATTTATTTCTGAATTTTCTGGTCATGAAATTATTTTTCAGTTCTTAGGTGTCAGCAAGAAATCCACTTCAGCCACCATTTATGTACTGGAGGACACTTTTATTAAGTCTGTGCGAGCAGAAGAGAACCATGTTTTAAGTGCAAATGTTCGGCGGGCAACTGATGCAAAAATAGTTTCAAAGTAAGGTTCCTTTGATTATTTTGCAGAAAACATTTAAGGCTGAAATCTGGGCAGTGATGCTTTCATACCCAGTGTAATCCCTTCCATTGTTATCAATAATGCAATTTTTAAACAACAACAAAACAAAACTGCAAAGCCTTTTGAAAGTCATTTAGTATTGCATGAATACTAAACATACTATACTGTACTGTACTAACCTGAACTTGCTTTTATTATGTTTTCATCATTCTGTGCTAAATTTCCTGTTTTTGTTTTGTTTGTTGACTAAATGTCCTACTCCAAAATCCAAGTGAGCTATCAGAGGTAAACATTTTAAAATTGACTTTCCCAGGACTCTGCAGAGGTGTCCGGTTTATTCCTTCACTGTGTGATATTGTAATAAAATATATCAAGCACATCACTCAACTCTGCATAGCTTGGAATGTGAGAGTCTTGTAGTTCATATCTGCAAATGCCCGTATGAGATATGCATACAGTAGATAGAGCTGGCATTAACACTGGGGATATATTATTCAGTGCAGAATACGTGCACAGTGATCCAACCAAGATTAAAAGCTTTGTTTAAATATGTGTACATACAGGCAGAAACTGGAACTGAAGTCAATAGAAGGTGGCCCAAGAATGATGGCTGGGAAGCAAGTTGCTAATATTATCAAGGCTCTGGATTCAAATTATGTTTCCATTTCACTAATGGCAGAGCCAGTCTCAGATGAATGCAAAAACTGTCCTTCGGTAAGTAAGTACATCTGAGTTCTGCAGTTGTGTCCGAACAGCTTTGCAAAATTCACAGTATAGTGTCAAGCTTACACTGTTTTTATTACCTGTTTTAATTGCTTACTTGCTAGTAAAGCGTAGGGAGCCATAGGATTTGGCCTTACATATGAAGAACAACGTCTCCTCCTCCTCCTAGTAAGCTTGTTTAATTTTTTTAATTGATTGTTATGAAATGTCCATCAGTGAATGCCACTATTAATGAATATGCTCATCAGAGCTGAACTCTTGTACTTCAAATGTTTTGTTCAGAAAGTATGAGGGCTTTTCTTGACTCTGTTGGAGTTTATATAGAACAATATTTGACATGAATTGCAGGTCAGCAGAGTATGAGTCATAAGTACTGGAGAATTAAGCAGTATCCTGGATAGGGTTAAATTTCTTGGCAACAGCTTCCTGACTAACACTGTCAATATTTCTCTTTTAAAAAAACTTAGACTCCTTAATGCTCGTTAGAGACAGTGACAGGCTCAAAAACTGAGTCAATGATGAATGGCTTTGTGAAATCCCATTTGTGTAACTTTGTTTCACTCATTAAGTCTTCTGATTTATCGACTTGTCTATTTTAGATTAACTCTCCTGAGCTCAATGGAGCTTCATTCTAATTAGGCATATATAACATGGTATAATGGAGAATTTTCTTCACCAGGTAAATAAGGCATGCGACACCTTCAAACCTTTTGAAATAAGAGGGTTAAAAGGGTGTGGTCATTGCAAAACACAAATGCAAGACCACTGCAAAATAATAATAATAATAAAAATCATACAATCTCCTAACTTTTGTGGATCAGGGCTGTGCACTTCATCAGGCATGTACTGCTATGAAGAACCTGGAAGTCCAAAGGTTCTTTGCAAGATGGATTTCAACAGATATGTTTTTTTTCTTAGATGTTAAGTCAGGAAAGATGCAGACTGCATTAGAGTTGTTTTAAAGTTGCAGCAGAGGCAGGTGCAGATTGTATATCACACCCTCATTCTTCAAACAAAGAGGGGCAGGACTATGCACACTGTTTGGCTTTTCTTTGAAATGGCGTGTTTTTGTTTGGTTGGGAAAAATGCAACTTGCATCTTTCCTGACTTACATCTAAGAAAACCATGGCTAGCCAAATCCGTCCTGCCCAGAACTTTTGGGCTTTTTAAGTTCTTCAAATCCATTGTGACTGCTTTTTAATAAAGCTGTGTTTGTATCTTTGCAAAACATTGATTACTATTCTTCAGACAGTTAACTGTCTCCAAATATGAGTCAAAACAAGTCCCATTCCTGCATCTGAGCAGGTGACTGCTACATAGATAAGAAGGTGCTGGGACTTGGGATGGCCCACAAAAGGAAAATCAATATAACTTCATGCTGGTCTTTTCTAGGAACAAGGCATGGGTCTCTCCCTGGGTGGGAGGCACTCCCAACTTATTCCATCTTGCTCACCAGTAATCGGATGCTGTTGTAACTAAAGTTTACCCTGCTACAACTGAAACATAAACTATAGCATCAGATATAAATAAGCAGCACAGCTACATTTCAGAATTATGAGATGTCTGTAGTTGCCTTGAGCAGATGATAGCCTCTAGGAGATGATAGACCAGCCAGTTTTAACCTTTTGCTGAACAACATGGTCTAGAGCTATTCAAACATGACGCCCATAAAAAGAATATTGATTGAAAGCTCGTTACCTGCCCCTTTGGTCTCCTGTAGAGCTTACAACATCCAGCAGTGCATTTTTATCCTTTATATATCAATGTGTAGGTAAAGAAGGTTATTCTCACTTTTCTGCCCAGCTGTTCTTCCTTTTTTTTAACCACATGTTTTTCACACAGTTGAGTTTGCATGCTACCTTGTTTCAGTTAGACCTTAGGAAATCTGAAATTAGAACAAAAACCTGCACCTATAATTGAGCAACCACCCACTTAATTTATATATCGCCTTTTCATAACCAAAATAAAGTGGTTTACAACAAAGCAAGGCAGAAAAATAGCAGTGATCTATTCCTGTTGAAGAAAAATATCAGAACAGCTTCTGAAACATTTAAATAAAGCGTAAAAAAAACATAATCAGGTTATAATTACATTGTGTGTGTTATGTGCTGTCAAGTTGGAGCTGACTAATAGTGTCCCTAATAGGACTTTCAAGACAAGAGAAATATATAATATATAAGGAGTGTTTTTACCAGTTTTACTGTTCCACTCAGCCATGAGTTTCATTTGAACCCTGTTCTCCAGAGTTGTAGTCTCAGTTCTACTGTTCCACTCAGCCATGAGTTTCATTGGTTGAGTGAGCATTTGAACCCTGTTCTCCAGGGTTGTAGTCTAACAATCTATCCACTACACCAGTGGTCCCCAACCTTGGGCATCCAGATGTTCTTGGACTTCAACTCCCAGAAATCCTGGCCAGCAGAGGTGGTGGTGAAGGCTTCTGGGACTTGTAGTCCAAGAACATCTGGAGGCCCAAGGTTGGGGGCCACTGCACTACACCACACTAGGAATCCCTATAATTACATTATTATTATAGCAATGTATACATTACTATAATTACATTTCTAGCTCAAATTAAATAAAACATTGTGTAGTCTTGCTAGGCAATACATAATACCAGCAGAAGAGTATGGCTTTTTAATCACTTGTGAGTACTCACTACCTAGAAACCTTGGAAAGGGCCAGAAGTTGACTTAATGGCACACAGTTGTTATTACTAGAGATGTGGAGAAAGGGTTGAAGCCGAGTTATCACAGTCTTCTAACAATAAGGCAGTACTTGAACTGGGGATGTCTTTGTTTTTATTGTCAGCTGCTAAGTTTCCCAATGTTATTTTATAAAAACTCTGCCATTGTAAACTCTGCCATTCATTTACAAAGCCACCTGTCTTACACATCATGTCAGCAATTGTTCTGAGTTTCCCTAAGACATGGCACTGTGCCGTACTGACCAGCTGAGCTTAATAGCTTTCACCTGTGTCCTGGCCATTAATACACTCCTGCTGGCCATTGATCCACAGGAAACAGCCTCCAGCTCACACATCATTACCTAATTTTGTTTTAATTATAATGCTGGTAGAATGAACTCTGTAGCTTAGTACTGCTATTTGTGGGTTGTGTCATCTGTGGTCTTAACAGCACCAACTGCATATGCAGATAAGGATATTTTAGCCAAGGCTGAGCTGGGTCTGGTGTGGTTTCCCAGTTAGGAGAGCTGCAATAAACATTACTGGGAAGAACAGCTGTGCTTTCTCCAATGAATGCTATAGATATCCCTAGATAACAGAAGCGGAGGCATGTGATAGCTTGGGCCGAAGTACCTAGTTTCTCTATGGGAGTTTGTCTGAAAGGACACAATTCAATTATTCATGTAGTATTTTAAACTAAGAACAGAATTTGAAAATGAATGTGGTCAGTGATTCTCAAGGTGCAGTCCTCTATAAAAGTAAGACCCTCCGAGGACAGTGGAATATATTTCTAAGCAGAGGATTGGACTTTAGGATTAAAAATGTTATTGGGCAATGGCAGTGTCATCCTATGTACGTCTATATATACATGTAACAGTTGAGAAGTTGGTAAAAGTAATGTTCTAGATAGAATTTGCCTGCAAAATATTGTTAATTTTTAATTTCTAGAAGAGTAAAATTGACTATAACTGCTTGCAAAAGCCTTCATTTCATACCAATTTCATATTTAAGAAGATATTCCTTTAAAATGTTCTTGATTGCACTGGAGTGGCGCAGAATTGTCCATAAAATATAGAATAGTCCATTAAATATTGCATTTGAAAAAGGGTAAGTGAGATAGCGAGGAAGAGCTTATCAACCCCTGCTGGAAGTAGGGGAAGGAGGTGACCTTGCCGTATCCTTTAAATTAAGACTAAGCTGGATTTGGTAATTGCAAGACCTACCAATTTCACTATTTCCATTTAAGGTTCAGATGCTATCACCACTGGTTTGCTCAGTTCTTTGGGCTGCTTTCCTGAGCAATTCAGTTTTGGTGTGGGTACCTGCTTGACATTGTCCATATTTTCTACTATCCTCGTGCTCCTTCAGTGCACCTTTGATTTTCCTGTCGTCTAATGGCCCATCTAGTCCTTTGATAAGCTTCTCGCTTCTGATAGCTCTCTTAAAATTTTGGTTCTTAATGATCTAATGATTTGTTCCTTAAATTATCTTTCTGCATTCCCCATTTCTACTTGCATCTTCCTTCTTATCCAAGTTTTCTGTTCTTTTTCTCTCTCTTTCTTCCTCATCAAGATTTTCATTTTCTGAGGGATGTTTTCTTGCCTCTAACAGCAATCGGACAACACTTCATGCATCTGCTGTAGTAGATTGTAGTCCAGAAATCGTAAGGTACAATAAATTGCTCTCTAAAGTTCTTCAAGACTTTCAGTGATCTCAGAGGTTCTGCTCAACAGATAAAGCTACCGTATTTTTCCATTTTTAAGATATCCCAATGTATAAGATGCCCCCTTTTCTAACCCCAAATTAGAAAATTTGATCGCTGCTTTCCCCGCCCTTCCTAAGCCCAGGGCTTAGCAAAAGGAGGGGGAAAGCAGCAGTCAGTGGGCTTCTGGGTCACTTTGACCGCTGCTTTCCTCCTCTTTTTGCTAAGTTCTGTGGGGCTTAGCAAGTGGAGGGGGAAAGCAGCAGTCAGTGGGCTTCTGGGTCACTTTGACCGCTGCTTTCCTCCTCTTTTTGCTAAGCCTCATGGGGCTTAGGAAGTGGAAGGGAAAGCAGCGGTCAAAGTAATCCTGCAGCCCTTTGTTGTTTCCCCCCTCTTTTTGCTAAGTTCTGTGGGGCTTAGCAAGTGGAGGGGGAAAGCAGTGATTAAAGTGTGGCAGGATTGCTTTGATCCCTTCCCCTCCCCTTTTTTTTTGTTCTCTCCTCAGGTTATGTATAAGACAATCCTCAATTTTTAGTCTAAAGATTTTAGACAAAAGTATCATCTTATACACTGAAAAATACAGTATCTGCAGACTTTTATGGTTGCTCTATTCATGCTGCTGCAAGATCCTTTTGTTGCTATTTGAAGTACTTGCAAAACAAACTTGGATAAAGATATTGACGGGAGAAAAAGCAATGGCGGTCTTCATTGTGGGTAGTGATGGCTCTATCCAGTATTTATGCAGAGTCTCTTAAAAAAACAGTTCTGTACAGCTTATAAGATTTCAATGGGCTCAAGTTAAACAAAGTCAGATTTTGGTTGCATATCAGGAAAAACTTCCTAACTGTTGCAGCAATACGACAATGGAACCAGAAACTTGTGACTGCTCCAACACTGGAGGCATTCAAGAAAAATGTAGATGATCACTTGGCAGTTATGCTTTGATTGTATTCCTGCATTGAGCAGGGGGTTGGACTTGATGGCCTTGTAGGCCCCTTTCAACTTCACTTTTTTATGATTCTATGTTTATTCAAGCAGTGGTTAAATCATCATATAAAGATAAACACATTTTTTTTTAATTTTGTGGCAGATACATTATAAATGTGGAAGGTAACAATTTATGTTAAATGATCCCATAAATACTTTCTGTAGGTTTGCCTGGCACCCTCTTAAAGCAGTTAGTAGTAGATAATTTTCATGCTTACTGGTTCACTTTTCAATTGCCAAACAAGTTCACTTACAAATTCATAGCACTGCTAATTGAAACCATTGGCTATACATGCGTTCTGGTATAAGAAATCAGAATCAAAATATTTTCTCTGAAACCTAGTATCAAAATACCATTTGGTTTTCTGATAATGTAAGTAACTTAAGTATAGAGAACAAAAGATGCAAATCAGTAGCTGAATGCCTGATGTTATGATGACCAGCATGCACTGTGATTGAGACTGTATCGGAGAACTAGATGGGAAGGGAATGTGGGCAGAGACCTCAAGAATCTACTGCCTCTGCCATGGTCATGTGAAAGACAGGCTGTCCGTCGTTTCAGCAGATCTCGGCAGTGCTTTACTGTTCCTCTACATCAGGGGTCTCCAAACTTTTCAGTGTGAGGGCCCCATCATATATTTTCCACATTTTCGAGGGCTGAAGGAACATGTGTGCCATCAAGATGTGTCATTATATAATGATAAATTACATATCAAGTGTTGTTTGCTGAATAAAGTAGTATTTCGTTGCACAGTCAGAGATTGGGAGCTTGATTCCAACTTGTGAAGCGTTGAGGAAACTACAAAGTCCCAGGGTGCCTCCAGAAGAAGAGAATGGGAAATCACTGTTGAGTATTCTCTACCTGGAAAATTCTGAAAAGGGTACCATAGGTCAGAATTGACTTGATGGCACATTATGATGATGATGATCAGAGACAACCAACTAGAAACCAGAGACCTGAGGGAATAAATAAGACTTGGTTTCTCAAGGAAAGGCAATACAGTACAAATGGAACCACATAAAATTTCCCTGGTAGGAGATTCCATAGTAACACAAAGTAAAGATAAAGTCTTGTGTCTGATGAGCATATGTTCAAAACTGCCTTCCCATATAAATACTTCACAGTTCTATCATATTGATATATTTGTCAACCACCGATTGCTATCCTGGTTTTGGCAGCTCTTCCAGCAGTGGCAGGACATCCGAAAACGGCTGCAACCTGAAAACCTTTCAAAAGCTGATGCTGCAAAAGGATTTTTGTCCTTCATTAAAAATCTGAGGAAAGCTACCAAAGAAGAAATCTTTCAGATACTGAGAAGCGAAAGCAACAGAGAAATACTGTGAGTTAACCTGCCACCCATTCTTGTAGGTTCTAGAATATTCATTTTAATTTTGGGCATATACTGAAGGAGGATTATGTAGGTTTAGCGAGATGCAATCTATAAGGAAATAATTAGACCAAACCAGTCTGGGGCAATTTAAAAAGCAAAAAGCGTGCTGCTCATATACCGCAGGCTATACATTGCCCCCCCCCCCAACAAACTGGGTACTCGTTTTACCGACCTCGGAAGGATAGAAGACTGAGTCAACCTTGAGCCGGCTACCTGGGATTGAACCCCAGGCCGTGAGCACAGTTTTGGCTGCAGTACAGCGGTTTAACCACAGGTATAGACCTGATTCTCCCTTACAGACCTTTTTTGTGTTCTGGTAGCTCAGGGTGGGAGACCTCGGTGGGGATGAGTGCTGTTTTCCATATTTGCCATGAGTCAAAGGGTTGTACAAGAGGTGGTGCTCATTTAATTCTGTTCTTCTAATACTGTGAGCCTCTTGGGTCCCCTTACCAAGAGAAAGGCAGCTGATGGACGAACGGACAGACAGACAGATAGATAGATAGAATGGAAGCGTGTACCCAAAGAAGCTAATTTTTCATTTATGTGTATACAGGAGCTTTGTGGCACAGTGGTTAAACTGTTGTACTGCAGACAAAACTCTGCTCACGACCTGAGTTCAATCTCAGGTAGCTGGCTCAAGGTTCACTTAGCCTTCCATCCTTCTGAGGTTGGTAATCCGAGTACCCAGCTTCCTGGGACGGGGGCAATGTGTAGCCTGCATAATTCCATTGTAAACCACCCTGAGAGTGCTTTAAATGCTATATATAAGTGGCATACTTTGCTTTATATGTCTATATGGGTACATACCCACACCAACCCACACATACACACATATTACTCCTTAAAATCTTTTGGTTATATATGGCAAAGTTTGCTACAATGGGTTTTTGATAACTGAGAACATAACTGGATTTTATGACTGAAAAGCCCCAACTCCCTCTACTGCCCCAAAATGTATTTTTTTGAAATAATGATATATGGCTCCTGGGGTGATGGAGGCTATCAGATTATGGCAAAAATATCTCCTCGTGCCCCCTGACTTATTGTTTTTTTAAAAAGTTTCGGGGAACATGAGGTACTCCAGGGGTGCAGGGGGCTGTGTGAGGCCATGACCCAGTATTTCTACCCCTGTTTTAGATGATGGATATACTAAATCATACGGCTAAAAAAAACTGTATTGTCAAAACAGTGTTCTGAAAAATGTTTAAAAGGTACTCAAATTGTTCTGGCATGGAGCATTTTGTACTCCATGAAAAAGAAAAAAGGGGAGGGAAAAACAACTTTTTCCCATACTCCCTCAAGCTATTTTACTTCAATATATGCATACATATACAGTATATTTAATTCTCTCCCTTGCCTTGTCATACAGTCCCCAGCTGGTTGACGCTGTAGCGTCTGCACAGACCTCAGCCTCTCTAGAAGCTATGGTGAATTTTCTGGATTTCAAGAACAAGAGTGGGTCTGTCCTTCAGGAACGGTTCCTCTATGCCTGTGGGTTCACGTCTCATCCTAATGAGTTACTACTCAAATCTTTAATTGTAAGTGTCTTGACTGCAAAGCAAATATAATGCTAATTGCTTCACTGATCCAAGAGCAAAAATGGTGCTGTACAAAGGGATTGCCCAGTCTTTCACTTGAACTGGTGATGAACTAGCGAATAGGACAGAAAGACTGAAGTCTTGTGTACTTACTGCTGGAAGTAAGCATCTTTGCACATACAGTGGTGCCTAGCTTAGCGATTGCCTCGTTTAACGATGTATGAGTAAGCATCTTTGCACATAGTGGGGTTCATTAAGGATGCATTGATTTTTGCAGTGAACATCTTATTACTAGGGACTTGCTGTGGACTTGGAATTTATTTGGGAAATGAGGTAAAGCAGGGTCACACTGGCCATGTGACCAAGGAAGATTGTCTTCGGACAAACGCTGGCTCTATGGCTTGGAAACGGGGATGAGCACCGCCCCCTAGAGTCGAACACGACTGGACAAAAATTGTCAAGGGGAACCTTTACCTTTACCTTTTATTTATACTGTATTTCCAAGCCAATCTGAAGCAAAGAAGCCCTATACAGTGCTCAAATCAAGCCAAATCTCTCTGAACCACGGAAGCTTCCTCTGGCACTTAGGAGGTTAAAAATGCAGAGCAGCAGAATTTATTTCATGGGATCCAGGAGTGACTGACAGCTGGGCAACAGTGTCCAGCTAATGAAGAATGAATACTGTATATGGAAAGGTAGAAGCTGAGCAAAGGGCGACTGCATGGCTCCAGGAAGGAAGGAGAGAGAAAGGAAGCTTTTCTGCACACTAGTGGTTGAGCAGTAATTAATGGCACTGGGTTCCTGCACACCTACATCCCAAGTCAGTGCCTTGTTTTCCTCATTTTCATATTTTTTCATTATTTGGACAAACACAAATATGTACAAATACTTTAAAATACTTGGATGTAGATAGAATTAGATGGGCTCTCTATCGGCTTGAAGGAAATAAGTTGTGATTTATAAGACTAATAATTCAGACCAAATCAAAGCATATTTATATACTTACTCCTAAAAACATGGATTTCATTTTAAGTCAAGACAATAGCAAATAACTGTACAGTACTTGTAAATGCCAGATGAATTACATCTTAAATTAATGGCAATCTCTTTGTGAGGATATGAAATGTCCTGTGTTCTACACGTGTTGTATAGACTAAAATGTGTTTTTGCACATATTTCAAATGTACATCTTTTTTAGTTGTGCACCTTTTAGTTCACATGTTTTAATTGCAGATTTACTTCCTACAATAGGAATCACAATTATACATGTTCATGACACCTTACTTTCTGTTGGCAATCTTTGAACATGCAAAATGAGCAATTCTCTGTGAAAATTCAAGTTCTACACATTTCTTTCCCATTCCTGAGAATCTTGTCCTGTGGGTAGGTGGAAATCCACAGCAGACAGATCCAGAGGGATCAAGCACATTTCTGTTAGGGTTCCATCACAGACAGTAACAAAGTATTTTTCTTTATATAATAGAAAATATATAACAGCCAGATTGGGAGCAGTGAAATTCGAGAAATGGTTGTTATCATTGCTGGGGCACTCGTAAGAAAGCTGTGTGACATTGGTGGCTGCAAACTGCCTGTACGTATTTTCTCTTATCTTATTTTCAAAGTTGTGGATATTTAAAACACAAAAAATAAGGTGGTTCTTGTCTAGAAGTGTGCTCATAGAAAAACCCTTTGCCATACAACCACCGTACCTCATTCATCAAATTCTCTCTCTGTGTGTGTTTGTCTGTCTACCTGTCTGTCCAGTAGAACTTGGAAATAATTTGTTATAAATATAACAAGTTAATATTATTAATTTAACAAATTACTGTATTTTTCCGTGTATAAGACACTACTTTTTCCTAAAATCCTTACTCTAAAAATTGAGGGGCTTCTATACACAGAGGTTAGAAAATTGGGGTTGTGTGTCTTATAAACAGGGGCGTCTTATAAACAGAAAAATACAGTATTCCAATTTGTTAAATGTTTCAGTAACACATTAAAATTTGATTTGTTTAAACTTTAAAATGGCACGTGCCACTATTTTATTGGTCATTATGTCACTTGTTGTGGTAATTTCCAGGAAATCTAGGTGGTATTTTGACATTTAACAATTCAACAAATTCACTAGCAAATGAACCAATTGATCACATTTCTTAAGGTGGTTTTATGTCAATGATGAAGTAAAGTACCTTAACAGTTTAAAGTTCTTGTGTTGATGCTGCCAAATGTGTTTTCATGCCCCGATGGCAAAAACCTTTTATGTTTTCTCACAGCATCTTCTCTTCCTTGTCTTTCCACAGAAAAATAAAATGAAATAAAACAAAATAATTACCATGCTAAGGAAGAATATACAGAATAGCTTCACAATATCTTTTGATTAGAAATACTGGCATGTCTTTACCCTGAAGCATGCAAAGCCCACTTCCTTTTTTTCTCTACCCACTACTGCCTTGATGCCTTCTTCTTTACTATTCTGTATACTGTATGTGGAACCCTCTTCTAAATATCTGTTCTTCAGCCTATTCCTCAGTTCCCCCTCAAGATCCATTTTTTTAGCAGAACCATTCCCATTCCCAAACCATTCATACTTTACTATTTCTGCTTCACCAGCATTGTATATCCCTACTTCCTGTTCATCATTTGTCCCTCTCCTGTACAGCACTCTGTCCGTTTTCTGTTCTTAATAGCATGGTTGATAACCTAATTTTATTTCACTGATCCTACATGAAACTCATTCTCTCTCTCTCTCCACTTTTCTTGATTTCTTCAAAATCTCTGCTCTGGCAGCTTTCCCAATTGTCTCTTCAAAAACTGCAAACAGATGGATTTCTGACATTTTCTTTCTAGGCTGTTATGGAAGCCAAAAAATTAATACTGGGCAACTTGGAAAAGACAAATAAAGCTGATGATGTGAAGGTCTATCTTTTGGCATTAAAGAATGCCCTTTTGCCAGAAGCTATCCCGGTGCTCCTGAAATATGCAGAGTCAGGAGAAGGACCCATCAGCAATGTTGCTGCTACTGCCCTGCAGAGATATGACTACTCTTTCATAAACAGTGAGGTAAAAAACCAAAACAAACAAACAAACACAAAAACCATAAGAAGATAACAATCCATAGTGTTCGAAGATTTTTCTGCTATTAAGTGTAGCCCAATAATGGCCTCTCATTTTAATAGCAGGTGTTTTTTTAAGCAAAACATTTCAACACACTTTCTTTTACCATTTTATTTCTGTATCCAGAAGAGTCTTAAGAAGCAACTTCAAAAGTAGTCCATAGTAGTTCCCAAGAAGGCTGAAGTCATGTAGGGAGGTACAACCAGAGTAGGCCTATTGAATCAGTAGGGATTTAGTGAATCAACTCCCCCTTAAGTTCCATTGATGCACTAGGCCTACTCCAATTGCGACTCACTATTGGATTATGGCCATTATGGAGTCATGGACACACTAATAGCTTTTATGACTGTCTTGAGTGTTGGAATACAGTATCTGTCATCCATAGCTCATTAAGCTACAAGCTCTATCAACTCCAGGCAGCATGACAATTGGACCTGGGTGCTGGAAATGATGGCAAGAACAGCCCAGCACATCTGGAGGGCACCAGATTGAGAATTGTGCAATGGAACTTCATCCCTTGCTTTGCACAAAAGCAGTTCCAATTAAGTGATGAAGGCTGCAGATGGCTGTAGTAATATGTTTCTTTTCTGTCTGTACCCTTATTATAGGATGTTGGGTGATGGGTCATCCATCTGGGGTTTATAGCCCTAGGCAGAGGGGAAAGCAATTTTGGGAAGAGGTGTTGGGAAGAATTGTGGGCAATTATGTGAACCATTTGGCAGTCACGTCTGCAATGTTGAGGCTAGATACGACATCCCCGTGACTTCCCATCTGTTTAGCCTACGAAACCAGCTGCTTGTTAATCAGAGGCTATTCTGATTATTTTCTCCTTCCAGTTTGAGACAAGTGGGTTTCCCTCGCTGGTGCATTTAATGTAACTGACTGGGCTGTATCTCAATTAGGTGAAGAAGTCAATGAACAGAATTTATCACCAGAATCGTAAGGTTCATGAGAAGACTGTCCGTACCACAGCAGCTGCCATTATCCTCAGCAACAATCCTTCTTTTATGGAAGTTAAAAACCTCCTGCTTTCCATTGGAGAACTGCCATTGGAAATGAATAAGTACATGCTTTCTCTAGTCCAGGACATTCTGCGTTTTGAAATGCCTGCCAGGTATATCAAATTTCATTTGTTATTTATGTGTCTCCATGTGCTTGTGCATATAGCATATGGGAGAACAGTATGGTAGCAAAATAATCTCTAGGGGGCAGTGGCCCCACCAACAACATGAGCACTCCCATGATAGGTAGAGCAGTTTGTAGCTTCGGCAACCTCTTCAGCATCTGAAGAGAAAAGTACTGTGTACTTCCTTGCTCTAGGAAAACGCTACTATGAGTCAAGAGTGGTATAGGATATGAATCTTGTAGGTCTCGCTGTAAGAGAGAAACTGGCAAGATGGTGCGGTATCACCACGCCCATGGAAAGCTTTCAAAATCTCGCAGATGTCTTATAATAATTTTTCTGAAAGAACTGCCAAGGTGCACCAGATTGCTAAAATCTGTGTGCGGAATGGCATCTTCACCATGCAGGATTCATCTGGAAAGGGCAACAGGAACATCAAGCTGAGCAGGATTGTTACAGTTCTTGTACAAAATTGCACATTGCCTGTGCAGTAATCACTGGTATGGGCCCTGGAAAATTGACAAGAACAAGACATTTTGCACATGCTCATCATATCCCAAGAATGCACTGTGAGCAAAGTTGCAGGGGGGAAAACTGACAGGAAAAGAAAGGAAAGAACACTTCTGCTGTATCCTGCACCTTCAGTGAGAGAGTTCAAGAGGCATATTGTAAACAGACTCCCATAAAATCCAAATCTGAGAGTTATGTTGTCAAGTTTGGACATTCGATTCCTTGCTGTCCCTCCTTGATGGGCTAGATTTGATGACCCATAGGATCCTTTCTAGCTCTGCAGTTGTAAGTTTAGCACTGCACTCCTTGATGTGTGAGCCACCTTAAAATAATTTAAGAAGCACTACTAGGAAAGAGACGTGGTGGCGCTGTGGGTTAAACCGCAAAAGCCTCTGTGCTGTAAGGTCTGTAGGTCTTCAGCTGTAAGATCGAATCCATGTGACGGAGTGAGCGCCTGTCGCTTGTCCCAGCTCCCGCCAACCTAGCGGTTCAAAAGCATTCAAATGCGAGTAGATAAACACGGACCACCTCGGGGGGAAGGTAACAGCGTTCCGTGTCTAAGTCGCACTGGCTACGTGACCACGGAAGATAGTCTTCGGACAAACACTGGCTCTGTGGCTTGGAAACGGGGATGAGCTTGCTGGGGGGGCAATGTGTAGCCTGTATAATTAAAATTGTAAACCGCCCGGAGAGTGCTTGTAGCGCTATGGGGCGGTATATAAGTCCAATAAATAAATAAAATAAATAAATGAGCACCACCCCCTAGAGTCGAACACGACAGAACAAAAATTGTCAAGGGGAATCTTTACTAGGAAAAAACTGGGAAAGTAAAACAAAGATTTAAAGCAGTGGTTCTTAACCTTTGTTACTCAGCTGTTTTTGAACTGCAGCTCCCAGAAACCCCAGCCAGCAGAGCTGATGGTGAAGGCTTCTGGGAGTTGCAGTCCAAAAACATCTGAGTAACAAAGGTTAAGAACCAGTGATTTAAAGGAGCAGAAAAGAAATGGTTTTAAGAGAGTGCCAGAAGAAATTGACTCATAATCCTTTCTGTCCTCCTCCCTACCCCTCCTTCAGTCTTTTTTCTTATTCAGTGAAATTGATTAAGGAGAACAGAAATGGAACAGGTGCAGAGTGGCTCTCTAATTCTTAGTGCAAAGAGCTAAATGCTCTCTATAAGGCAATCTAATATTTCAATTTTTTAAATTGTTCTTCACATTTTAGGTTGGTAGAGTACAAACCAAATCCTTCTTGAGATGCTAATCTTTTCATTATGAATCCTAAAAGTTTCAGGATCTATGGTCCAGTTGAACCCACAGTAGAGTTCACTTGAGAATTAGATTTCGTTGTGCTGTCAACACCTCTCTGACTTTCAGAGACCCTATAAATGAAATATCTCCAAAAAAGTCCTGTCCTTAATAGCCTTGCTCAGCTCTTATAAACTCAAGTCTACGACTTCCCTTAAGGAGTCAATCCATTTCTTATTTGGTTTTTGCTTTATTTTTCCCCAGTGTGTCTTGCCTTTTCATGATGTATCCGAAATATGACATCTACAGTTTCATCATTTTTGCCTCCAAAGATAGTTCAGGCTTGATTTGCTCCTGGACCCACTTCTTCATCTTTCTGGCAGGCTAGGGTATCGCTAAAGCTCTTCTTATTTCATATTTCAAATGAATTAATATTTTTCCTGTCGGCTTTTTTTACTGTCCTGCTTTCACACCCCTACATAGTGATCAGGAATACAATAGTGTGGATGATATTTCCTTTATTATCTCTTTATCCAGATAATTTCTGTTTGACCAGAATCCTATTAGTGACTTATATTGACATATTAAACTGCATAACTCACTGTAGTGAACTGCCGTTACTTAAAGAGGCTTGGTTGCTTTACTAAGTGTATACCTTTTGAGCAATCAGGTGTGCACTTTGTAGCACAACCAGCACCTTGGTAGTTAGTGGCAATTCGCCACAGAGTTACACAATTTAACTTACTCATGCATGAATCACCAACAAAATTCTAGTCCATATTTTTTAAACAAGTTGGCAGTTCCATGTACATACTAGGAACTCAGAATGCAATACAAGGCAAATCATTATGTTTTAGTTATAGCTATCAAGCCACATTTATTATTTTTTCATTTTTGAAAATCATGTATGCTCAAGAGGTTTGTGTTTGCAAAATGACTAGTGATAAAATGGTCACTAATATTGTGGTAACTTAAAATTCCTGACTTGTTTGTTTCAGTAAAATGATCCGCAGAGCTCTGAAGGACATGTTGATTCATAACTATGACCGCTTCTCAAAGATGGGTTCTTCTTCGGCTTTCTCTGGATATCTGACACGTAAGTGACTAACATACTAGATCATAGATTTCATTGTTATTTCTTGATGGCCAGTTTTACCCACATGTGCCTCTGTTTAATCAAGGTAGCCCAGATCTTTCCTCTACGTATAGCCTGGACATACTCTACTCTGGCTCCGGTATCTTAAGAAGAAGTAACATGAATATCTTACTTTTCAACAAATTTGGTCAATTTCATGCCAACCAGGTAAATGCGACGTACCTCTGGAATATTAACTCCACAAAAAGAGCTTAGTTTTATGGCTTGTACCAAATGTACACGTTTGGTTTGTTCTACCACAGTGTCTTCTAGCAACTGGTAGGGTTATGATCGCCCATAAGAAACACAGAAATCTGTCTTATATGGTATCCACCTTTTTTTTGTACAGTATTATTTAGTCTGTATTGTTCAGTATTATTTATTCTGACTAGCAAAGGCTCTCTGATGTCTAAGCCTCTCACATCACCTGAGCCTTTTAAATGGAGATACAAATGATTGGGCCTGATGCGTTCTATGCTTTGCCCACTCTACTCTTAAGCAACAAAGAGCCAGTCTGTTCCATCTTCTGCCTGACAGTCTTCGAGATGTTCAAAACCAGTTTTTTTCCATTTTCTGCCTGACAGTCTTCGAGATGTTCAAAGATAGTTATCGGGGATGATTAGGCAGCTGTTACCAAGAAGAGCTCTGCCTCCCTCCCCATTTGATTGGCCTTGAGGAAAAACAGACAATGAAGTTAAGCAAACCTGCCATCCTGAACTGAAAGCATATATTTGCATGCAACTGGCCATCAGCCTTTATCATGCAAACGTTGTGTCGCTGTCTCATTTTAGGTTGTGATTGAAGCTCAGGGTCTGGAATCGATTATAGCAGCATCTGCAGATGAAGGAGAAGAAGATCTGGAGTCCTTTGCTGGCATGTCAGCAATTGTGTGTGATGTTCAGCTTAGGCCAGTTACTTTTTTCCATGGATATGGTGATTTAATGTCTAAAATGTTCTCAGCTACTGGAGACCCCATAAATGTTGTAAAAGGACTCATTCTCCTGACAGATTACTCACAGGTAGGAATTTCATAATAGATACTTAACTTTCTTCCTAATGTACATAATGTACACTACATCATACTTAGTGTGTTCTACTCTTACAAGTTCTACCGTCAAGGGGGATCCAAAAATACATATAGCAAGGTTGATTGGTGGGCTGCTCTTGTGTGTCTGTGCCAACTGATGCATCTACTGATGCATCAACCAGCTATAGGAATGGTATAACAAAACAAAACAAAAATCTAATGCTGCAACCTGTGTCTAATGCTTACCTGGAAGTAAGAACCATTGGAAATGTAAGGTGGTGTTGATTCCAACTGCATACGCATATAACTGGGATGCAAAATTTTCTCTTGAAAGAATCATGAGGGTGAACAATGTAGCAAGAACTGTGCTGCTGTGCTGCAAAATTAAGTCTCATCAGAAGGCGAAATCACGTCTATATATTTTTTCTTAATTATATAAGAACCATTTTTCTAATGTGGTGCAATATTCAACACAATTTTGTATATCTTCCCCTAACCCTTCCAGTGGTTTATTTCCACTAGTTCATCATTTGATTGCACATACATGAGGGGAAGTGGCTATAAAAAGATGACAGGGATGGTTCATTTTGTGGTAACAGTTCCATGTAATGCAGTACAGTATTCCTGATTGCACTTGATATATGATAACTGATGTATTTTTGCCTTTGTGCCTGCCTCTACTTTTAAACTTCATGCACTAAAATAAGACTTTTAGTTAATTTGTTTCAGAATTGACTTACAATGTTTAGGGATTCTGTGACATTGTCCCTTTGATTGTTATAAACATTATTTCAGAGTTTTAGCCACTTGCCATTTTCAGAGTTTTAGCTACATTTTTTCACAAAAAAGAAGAAAATAGGTTAAAAATATTTCAACAAATCTACTGATTTTCTGCTATGAAGGTTTCATACTATTTTCTAGCAAATCGTGGTACAGAGAGGTATGTAGCCAGGAACTGCCGTGTGTAGAACTGGCTTTTGAGTAGAGGTGAAGCCACCTTCTCCTGTGGTGGCTGGAGTGTGCAATGCTCACCAAATGGCAAATAGTCATGGATCATGTAGGGAGGATGACCCCTGGCTTCCTGCCAGAGGTAGGAGGGAAGCTTAAGCAAGCCTTGGTATTGATAGCATTGGATGAAAGTCGTTTTATATGTACCTTTCCACTTGCAAATGTAGAGCCACAGGAGATATTCTGTGCATTGACTGGAACAAAGAATACTTAATTGAATGCTTCTTTCAAATGTTAGGAAATCCAGCTGCAATCTGGGCTGACCTGCAGCACTGAATTCCAAGCAGGCATAGCCATTGATGTCTCCGGAAAAATGGAGTTTAGCCTTTGGTACAGAGAATCCAAAACTATTGTTAAAACCCGGTGAGTTATGTAACTTTAGGCAAAATTAAAATAAGTGATTTGGACAATATTGTTACACATGGGAGATTTTTAAAATCTGATTTAGGATTTGAAATCTTAAATAGATGTAAAAAATTTTGGCAGAAATAGTCAGGTGAAGATACGTTCAAGACTCAAATTATCAGCAGACCTGGGGGAAAAAAACAATTCAAGAAAAGTAGACAGAAAATAAATATGTTCTGAAGGCTTTCCTGAAGGCCTCTAGTGATTTGACTTGATGGACTCAGTGGTTTCCAGGATAGGACCGCTAAAGGAAAGTTTGCATTTTGGTGCTAATGATGTGGAGAGAGCTGGGGAGAATGACATGACTTGATGACATCATGGCATATTGCAGCTTGCTTCACTGTAATTTGTGGAACTGGGGAAATTCCACTCAGTATTTAACTCAGTATTTAACAACCTGCTCATTCCATAATTTCTTCTTACAGAGGTGCAGTGGCAGTAGTTGGCAACATTGCTGTGGATGCTTCTTTTGTGAAAGCTGGCATGGAAACTAGTTCTGAAATTGAAACAACACTGGATTTTGTCTCAACTGTGCAGTTTTCACAGTATCCCTTTTTAGTCTGCATACAGATGGACAAAAGTGAAAGCCCATTCAGGTAGGAATTTGATGGTGCAGGGTTGCTCCATCCCTATTGACAGGGTGAACAACTTTTAAAGTAGTTATCTGAGAGATTTCTTGCTTGCTGTCTGGGGATTATTGAATGCCTGCTCCAGTGAATGGAGGTCTGGAACCTTTGATAGCCCCCTGTAGCTGTTTTGCTAAGCCCTTTGAGAAGAATATTGTCTGTCTCCGCAGTGACCTTGACACTATTATTGTTACAAGCTCAAGTTAAGTGTTGGATGCTGTGTCAAGCCCAGTTATCTGTCAGTATCAGTAGCTAAAGAATTGATGGATGGCTATTGCCAGAGAACCAGGATCTCCATAAAGTGTCTTATTTTATTGGTACGCAGAATTTTAGAGGACGCATCCTATTTCACAAATAATGACTTTTTGGGGAGAGAAAAAGGTTTTTCCAAGATAATGTGGTCTTTTCATGAGTGTATTCTTGAAGAAGGCTTCCTTTGAAATGCACTGGGTACTGATGCATTGGGACTGATACTCTCTCAGAGTTGGTAGCACTTATTGTGCCTTTTCCTTGGGTTCCCCCACCCGTTTCCAAGAGGTCTAATCTGATTGCTTGCAAATGATTCTTGAAGTCAGAAGGTCACCTGAAGCTGAGGGCCACCTGAAATTAGCCACAGGAGGTCCTGGAGCAGGTCCTGGAAATGTGAGCCACTTCAGATGTTCTTCTACTGCAACTTCAATAGTTTCTTACCATTGACTCTGCTGGTTCAAGCTAGTGGAAGTTGCAATACCATGGCATCAGAGAGCCATGCTTTCCCTATGACATTTCAGGGCCACACGTTGCTAATTCCTGCTATAGAAAATGTTAGATGGGATGAGATTGTATCACAAGCTATTAAGTCATTGCAGTGCTCAGCCCCATTAGGAATAAATACTTGGAGAATAAGTATTTTCTGTCACTGAAGTTAAACTACATAATGTCTGTCTTTTCTTTAGGCAATATTTAACTAAATATGAAGGCCTACCATCTGGAAAACATTATATTTCCCGGAAAGGAAAAGTAAGACTGCTGGAGGGTTCCGAATACCCACTTCACCAAGAAAACTCCAACATGTGCAGGAATGTTTTCAGTGACCAGCCTGACTCTTCAGAAAGTTGGTTTTGAGACAAATATTTGAAGTTTAATTTGGCCGATCTTGACTGGTGTTGATTTTCCCATGACGCTGCACTAGTTTAGGGCCTAAATCTATGACACTCACATTGATGAGAACTTTGAGAACAACTTCAGGAGGCCCAGAATCAAATCTTGAGCGTATGTGCACTGTGTTTACATATTTTCATATATTTAAAAGATTTTTTTGTCGGTAACAAGCTATAGCAAGAATTTAACTTGATGCAATTCCAGGTACTCACAGAGGGCCTAACTAGAGGTAATATGAAGACGTGCTTGGTTCTTTCAAAGTATCTCCTTTCGAGAGAGGGGGCCAAGTAGCTGAAAAATACCAGGACAAGCAGGCACCTTGAATTGGTGCTATAATGCTGGACATGTTTTCTTTTTTCCCAAAAATTATTCCAATTTAATTCTGCAATGTATGCTTTTCTCCTGCTGATACTAAAGCCAGAAAATCTCTTAGAGGCAGGAAAACGTTTTGTACTGTATTGCCATTTCCACACCCCTACATATAATAATTTCAGTACTTTCAGACTGGGAACAAATTAATCTTCCTTTCTTCAACACGACAGCTCTGTTCCAAATTGTTGATGCACCCAGCTGTTTTTAACCGTACAAATATCATGGCTAGTCACTGAGACTCAGTACCACTTTGTTGAGAAACACATTAAGCATACAATTGTTTTTTAAACTAGCTAATGTAAATGTATATGGCTTTCATTGGTGTTTTTGAAAATTAGGTTGTAACATAGAAAAAAATTATTATTTATGTCTCCCTGTCTATAGATAGTGCACTATACAGTGACCTTACTCCATACCAGACCTGCTGCCAAAAATTGATCAATTTAGTAGCATGTTTTTTAAAAGCAGATGCTGATGGCAACAGTTTTCTGTACTAGTATGGTGCATCTGTCAAGCTTGGTTTTGTTGAGATTCTTGTTTTTGCCACTGCTCAGCTGGTAGTGTATGAGGATTTTTTTTTAGTGGCACAGAAATTTGTATGTATTTTATGTGCATTTTTCAAATGTATTTTTGTGCATGTTCCTCAAATGTATGTACCCAAACGTACTAAAGTACCCTGTTTCCCTGAAAATAAGACCTAATCTGAAAATAAGCCCTAGTATGATTTTTCAGGATGTTCGTCATATAAGCTCTACCCCCAAAATAAGCCCCAGTTAAGTGAAACCCCACCCTCCACCATTGTGCAGCAACTAGAAGAAGATGACATGACTGTATTTGAATAAATGTAGATTGTACAGGAAAAAAATAAAGCATACCCTGAAAGTAAGCCCTAATGAGTTTTTTTGGAGCAAAAATTAATATAAGATGCTGTCTTATTTTCAGGGAAACATGGTACGTTTGTGTGCAACTGGAAAACCGGATATATTTCTTCATGCATATTTCAAATCTACACTTGTTGTTGAATAATTTCTTTTTTCTTTCATGGAGTACACCTCAGACTTAGAAATGTGTGCATTTCTAACTTCAGATTGCATTTGGTTTTACGTTTGGCTCTGGAAAGAGCAAATTGGGTAAATAAAACAATCAAACAAACAAAACTTAATGGAGTGAATTTCTCTGTCCATCCCTGCTCCATGCCGAGATATCTCAAGATATTGTTAGCATAGCCTATGCAGACCTATCATTTGTGTAAACCTAGCTGAATGGAATAGTTACAGTACAAAAATGTGTGAGTTCTTGCATGGCTCATCTAGCTGGAACAACAACAAGCAGAAAGAAAAAAAACCACCTTGATGTGTTAGGAAGATATTTTAACACACACTATACAACATTGAAACTGATTATTTTTAAATCCACATCATATATGTATTTATACATAATTTGTCCATATATTATCCCAGCTCTGCTGGTTGTGTAGGGAACTGTTCAGAATTTACACATGGCTTCTCAAAAGTACTACCTGCTTTGCTCAGTACCCTAGCAAGACCACGTAAGATGGAGACTTATGCTAGTATTCCTTTATGATTCTTCACCCCATCACCACCTGATTATTTAATCAGAAATCAATTGTCTCAAAAAACCTAGCTTAACAACCCATGGGTTCTTAGGTTTCACTTTAATAGACTTATGCTAGGTATTCCTTTATCACCACCTGATTATTTAATCAGAAAGCAATTGTCTCAAAAAACCTAGTTTAGCAACCCATGGGTTCTTAGGTTTCACTTTAAAATCTGAGTGAAAATGTTAAGACATGCTTAACAAAAGAACTGGAAGAGGCTAATGTTCAAAACTTGAATTTTGTTGCCCTGGAATTTTGTTGTTCAGTGGAAATATACATAGTGCATTCCGATACTTTTGAAAATTATTTTCTAAAGTAAGGTCAGAATGTGTTGACTTGTCTCAAAACTGGATGAAGATATTGTGAAAACATCTGAAATTACTTGGAGAAAGCACATCCATTACTTCCCCACTGTATTTATGCCTCCCCAAAATGTCAAATGATTACATTGTCTGATACTACCATGTTTTCTCCGAAAATAAGATAGGGCCTTATATTAATTTTTGCTCCATAAACACATGAAGGCTTATTTTTAGGAGAGGTTTTATTTTTTCATGTACAACAATCTACATTTATTGAAATACAGTCACGTCATCTTCTGGTTGCTGCACAATGGTGGAGGGTGGGGTTTCACTTAACTGGGGTTTATTTTTGGGGTTGGGCTTATATTTTGAGCATTCTGAGAAATCATACTAGATCTTATTTTCAGATTAAGTATTTTGGGGCAAAACATGGTAGTAGCAAGACCTTTTACCTTAGGAAAACAATCTCGGGGCAACAAAGGCCATTTATTGTGCTAGTGGAGAAAACATACCTGCATGCCAAGTATGGAATACAAAGTGAAAGGTGGGCTTTTTATAAACAAAGTCAATAACAAAGGTCTGAAGACATGATTCTTTCAAGTAAGCATTGCTCATGATAAAACCTAAAAAGAATATATTTCTAAGCCATTTGGCTATCAATCTAGATTGTCTTTTCTGTCCTCAGAACCAGGTATGTGCTTGGTCTGGAACAGAAAGTACAGTAACACGATAAGGTTAATTCTTTACTTGTTTATGGCAGAGAAAATGCAGATACCCTGTTTGATACTATGTTTCACTTTTTCGTGCATTGGGCTTACAGGTTTTCAATAAGACACTGGCTATACAATAGTACACTATCTATATTCATTACTGAGCTTGCTAACAGAGTTAATGAGTAAGGTAATGATGGGGCCCACTTTTGATAAGTGTTTTGTTTTGGCTATTCGAGAGATATAATACCAGAGGAAATGTTAGATGGCATTAAACAGGATCTTTGGATAGACCTCCTGAAATCATAAATTGACAAAGTCTGTTCCCTCTGATCCTAGACAGTACCCACACTGTTTCTATACACCACAATGTGGTGTCTTCTTTCCTCCTGGCCTCTTTCTAATGAATCTGAGATCCAAGCTGCTAATAAGTGATTGTTATTGCCTTTATTCTGCAAGAGCGTTTCATGATCTGAAACCAGGTGGCCTCCAAGCTATCCCTTCACCACACATTAGGATGGTGTTATGTCAGTGTTCTTCGTGACTTCTTCTGCTTAGCTGGAGTGATGAGAATGAGGAATCCTAGTCATGTTTTGAAGAGTGGCGTGGGCTCCATTTTAGCACTTCCATTCTTCAGAGAGTTTTGTCTATTGATTTTCTAATCTGCTTTCCAATTGCAGCTCCACTGCAGCAGCTGCTTACTCTGGTCCCCTAGGCACATTCCATTTTAGTCTTCACAGCCTTTAAAGCATTGCCATAACTATCTAAACGGTTTTAAGATTCTAGAGTAGAGTAGGACATTGCATACCTTCTCCTGTGAAAGTACAGTTCTCCCTTCCAAAACGCTGGACCCCCATGTAGTTCAAAATCTGTGTAACTCTTATGTCCCCTCAGAACATAGCTACAAAGCATAAACAGTTGATTAACACGCAAGTGCACAAGAGAGAACAGATTAGTTGACTGTATTAGCTGCACGGCATACCATAGCACTCTTGCCAGCTGTCATGTAAAGTTGCCATGGCAGGAGAGGGAGCTAGCCTTTGGATGGGGGTGGGTGGGTGCCTCACTGCCAACAAGAGAGGCCTCAGTAAGTCCAAGACTCACCTTTCTCAGGCCACTACCTGGAGCTGAATAGCAGCACAATATTTATTGAATATTTATTTACTGAATATGTATTTATTTATTAAAAAGCAATCTATAACGTAAAATGGTGTTGCTCAAACCTGTGCAATTCAAGGGAGAAGTGTACAGTGTTACCAAAGAGGGTTCTCTTTTTGTAAATGAGTAACAATTATTCCTCATTTTGGTAGAATTGCAAGCAGTAACAGGGCCAACTCAAGATATTTTGCTGCCTGGCCAAAGCACAGGATAGCACCCTTGCATTCCACATACAGCATCTGACCTGACCGGCAGATGAATCTATGAATCAGCTTCAACACTGGTAATGGACCAGATTCTCCCATCTCATCCACAAGAGTAAAGTAGCTCAAAGGGTGGTGAACAGACCACATGGTAAAGCCCATAGGCAAGTGAATGGCCAGGAAGTTCTTGCTGCTGCTGTTCCACCTCTGCTGGCTGAGGTCACCTCCTCATTCTGATGAACCTATATAATATCATTACTCCTCAGATCTTGCAGGATCCAAATGTAATAGTGTAAGGTAAAAGGTTCTCCTTGACATTTTTTGTCCAGTCATGTCCGACTGTAGGGGACGGTGCTCATCCCGTTTTCAAGCCGTAGAGCCAGCGCTTGTCCGAAGACAGTTTCCATTGCCACGTGGCCAGCGTGACTAGGGAACACCGTTTTACCTTCCCACTTAGATGGTACCTATTTATCTATTCGCATTTGCATGCTTTCGAACTGCTAGGTTGGCGAGGAGCTGGGACAAAGCGACAGGAGCTCACTCCATCGCGTGGATTCGATCTTACAACTGCTAGTCTTCTAACCCTGCAGCACAGGCTTCTGCGGTTTAGCCCGCAGCGCCACCACGTCCCCCTGTAATAGTGTACATGAGCCCAAATAAGAGAATGTGTTCCCAGATATTAGTTGAACATGCCATTGGTCAAATTCCTCAGAAATGGTTGAAGTCATTCTAATCCCCGCCCCATGCTACTGTGTAAAAAAAAAAAACTGGGGGTATGGAAGCTGTTTCTGCCAAAAAAAATATTGACTCCATTATTTGATAATCTGGAAATGAAACTACCTCATATCTTACTATTGGACGGACCGTCCAATGGCTTTCAATGGAGAAAACAAAAAATCACCAAAAATTAAGGACGCCTCAGAACAACACCAAATTAAGTTTGCATACGTTTCAGGAGGTGGGCTAACGATAGCAAGCATTTAAAACACTTTTCAAACAGTTTAAGGCACTTTTACAGGAGCGAAAAGGGACTTCGCAAACCCATTCAAATGCATTGAGTCGGCTTCAATGCATTTCAATTGGGGAACCGCGTTTCGATATTAGTTGAACATGCCATTGGTCAAATTCCTCAGAAATGGTTGAAGTCATTCTAATCCCCGCCCCCATGCTACTGTGTAAAAAAAAAAACTGGGGTGATGGAAGCTGTTTCTGCCAAAAAAAATATTGACTCCCTTATTTGATAATCTGGAAGGAAACGACCTCATATCTTACTATGACATTATAATATTTACACCTTATATTGGTCACAAGAAAAGATCTAATAAGGGACTTCGACCATTGGAAGCTTACTCCAGACCTTTTACTAACTTACCTCATGGACTCTTGTAAAGAGGGCCATGGATACTGCACAGAGCTTGTTGGGGGAAGAAGCTTGTTGGAAGAAATATAATAGGTGTGCTTTCTATCAGCAACATGACCAACATTAAGATGCATCACCACAAGTCATCTAAACACTACTATGGTATCGGAGACCTCAGACAGATCCTGAGCCATCATTTCAATTTGTGCTTCTAATACATTTTTATTGCTTCTCTTGCTACAGTACTTCAGGTATACAGCCAGCGGGGAGCAGGGTAAGAGAAGGAGCTGCTTTTCAGAGCAGGTTACAGCTCTTGCATAGATGACAATTCTTCTGTGAGAGCTTACATAGAAGTTTACAGTGAGTTGTTTCTCTCTCACTCTCACTCTCTCT